GCTCATTCTTGTATAGTTCTTCTGTGTAGTTTTGCCATCTCTTCTTAATCTCTTCTGCCTCTGTTAGGTCCCTGCCATTTTGGTCCTTTATCATGCCCATCTTTGCATGAAACATTCCCTTCATATCTCCAATTTTCTTGAAGAGATCTCTGGTCCTCCCTATTCTGTTGTTTTCTTCTATTTCTTTGCACTGTTCATTTAAGAAGGCATTCTTATCTCTTCTAGCTATTCTCTGGAATTCTGCATTCAATTGGGTGTATCTTTCTCTTTCTCCTTTGCCTTTCGCTTCCCTTCTTTCCTCAGCTATTTGCAAAGGCAGGCCACTTTAGCTGACTGTGTTCAGCAGGTCAGCGGTTCAAATCTCACCGGTTCAAGGTTGACTCAGCCTTCCATCCTTCCGGGGTAGGTAAAATGAGGACCCAGATTGTTGGGGGCAATGTAAATATATATATATATATATACATTTCTTACTGGTGTACACCGCTTAGAGAGTGCTTGCACTTAAAGCGGTATATAAGTCTCATGAATAAATAAATAAATAAATAAAGCTTCCTCAGACAGCTATTTTGCTTTCTTGCATTTCTTTTTCTTTGGGATGGTTTTAGTTGCTACCTCTTGTACAATGTTGCAAACCTCTGTCCATAGTTCTCCAGACACTCTGTCTATCAGATCTAATTCCTTAAATCTATTTGTCACTTCTACTGTATATTCATCAGGGATATCATTTAGTTCATACCTGAGTGGCCTAGTGTTTTTCCCTACTTTCTTCAATTTAAGCCTAAATTTTGCAATGAGAAGCTCATGATCTGAGCCACAGTCTGCTCCTGGTCTTGTTTTTACTGACTGTATAGAGCTTCTCCATCTTTGGCTGCAGAGCACATAGTCAATCTGATTTCTATGTTGACCGCCTGGTGATGTCCATGTGTAGAGCCGTCTCTTGGGTTGTTGGAAAATAGTGTTTGTTATGACCATCGTATTCTCTTGACAAAATTCTATCAGCCTGTGCCCTGCTTCATTTTGTACTCCAAGGCCAAACTTGCCTGTTATTCGGTTATCTTTTGGCTTCCTACCTTAGCATTCCAATCCCCCATGATGATAAGGACATCATTTTTTTGGTGTTAATTCTATAAGGTGCTGTAGGGCTTCATAGAACCGGTCAATTTCATCCTCTTCAACACCAGTGGTTGGGGCATAGATTTGGATTATTGTAATATTGAATGGTTTGCCTTGGATTTGAATTGAGATCATTCTGTCATTTTGGGGATTGTATCCCAGTATTGCTTTTCCTATTCTTTTATTGACTATGAAGGCTACTCCATTTCTTCTGAGGGATTCTTGCCCATAGTAGTATACCTGATGGTCATCTGAGTTAAATTCACCCATTCCTGTCCATTTTAGTTCGCTGATTCCTAAGATGTTGATGTTCAGTCTTGTCATCTCTTTTTTGACTACGTCTAGCTTGCCTTGATTCATGGATCTTACATTCCAAGTTCCTATGGAGAAAAAATCTTTACAGCATTGGACTTTCCTTTCACCACCAGATATATCCACAGCTGAGCGTCCTTTCGGCTTTGGCCCAGTCTCTTCATTCTTTCTGGCGCTACTAGTACTAGCCCTCTGCTCTTCCCCAGTAGCATATTGGACACCTTCCGACCTGAGGGCTCATCTTCCAGCGTCATATCTTTTTGCCTTTTAGTACTGTCCATGGGGTTTTCATGGCAAAGATACTGGAGTGGTTTGCCATTTCCTTCTTCAGTGGATCACATTTTGTCAGAACTCTCTGCTATGACCTGTCCATCTTGGGTGGCCCTGCACGGTATAGCTTATAGCTTCATTGAGTTACACAAGCCCCTTCGCCACGACAAGGCAGTAATCCATAAAGGGGCATCCTATGTTAGACATATGGAATAATATTGTGCAATTTGGCTTCAGCTGAGTGATTTGGTCAATAACTAAAATTAATCTCTGGCTTCATTCACATTGACAGCTATATTTATCTTTTTCTACATACATATGACAGGGGCTCCTAAATATTTTGCCATCACACCTCCTTTAGTGTAATCTTAATGTACATTTCTCCCTTAAAAATCAAAACACCAAAGTGAACACGTGAACAATGAAACTTTAGGGAAGGTGCATTTATTGTAAGAATGTAATTATAGGTTGACCTTGGTTAATGACTGGACCAAGAATCATCACTAAGTGATGTGGCTGTAAGATGTGCCTTCACGCTGACTTAAGATAGCAATTCCAGCAATCTGGTTGTCATTGTTGGGTGACTCCCATGCAATCACTACACGTGACATCACGTGAGTGCCATGTGCAACTTCATTGATATCTTTTGTAGGCAGCTAGCAAAGAATGTGCAAATGATGATTGTGTGGTCACTGAATGCTGTAACAGTCACAATTTTGAGGACCAGTCATAAGTTTCCTGCTCAGAACTGTCACTGAACAAATGATCATTAACCAAAGATTATCTACAGAAGGTTCTTTACACTGCCTTTGGACTCTGCACCACCACAAGGGAGGTACATCTCACAGTTTGGAAAACCCTGGCACAGAGGAACCTTAATGCTTCTCCTCAAAACAGAAGACAGTCCAGATAAAATCTGATACTTGCACCACCTACTATTTATATATGCTAATTCCATACACTATTCTGGGGGAAAAAATATGTGGTTGGTGAGACTGGATGCTGTCTTGACTTCCAGTTCGTCACACAGCCGCCATGGACAGTTGGGAGACTTGTTCTCTCTCCCCCATTCAGTTTCGTATCGCTGGGGGGCCCTGAAAAGGGCTGAAAGTTGCCCCAAAGAGGCGACCAGCAAGGAGGGGCTTTTGCTGGATCCCGGGAGAGCAGCAACTCTTCCGTCAGATAAGGCGATTCCTCCAAACCGGCGGACGAAAGGACCGGCCATAGAAATATGGCTTGTCCCTAGGCTGCAAACAGCCGAAGTTACATTACCATCTAGCAACTTCAAAGCAGCATGGACAGGACTGGGTGAGGTTTGCCTCTCTTACATCCTAACTACTTAATTACCTGCATAAGCTGCTAAAGTACTTTCCCCCCTCTGGTTAGGGAAGAGGGATTCTAGCCCTCTCTTCAGAAACAGCAGCTATCAACCACTTGGGAGTTTAAAACGTTGGAAAAATACTGAGATCTTAATTGGAATCCTATTTCCTAAAATTGGTGGATTATAAGATTTGCAACTTTCTGCTCTCTATATATATATATTTTCCTTGATTTTTATTCTAATTACTATTGAAGATTTGGGGTTTTTTCCCCCTTAGAATAGAGTGGGGGGGAACCTAAAAAGATCCAACTAACTCTAAGACGTAACCTGCTATTCTCTAAGAGACTTGTTGACAGCTTTGAAAATAGATAAGATATAAAATAACCTTGAAACACCATCTGCAAAATTCAGCTCAGCTCCCCATTTGGTGGACTTTCTGACTGTCAGTTTCTTTTTCTTGAGTTTAATATATTACAATGGAAGGAGAACAGGAAAGGATTTCTTCTACAGAGGAAGTACAGGAACAAATTCTTTCTATGTTAAAAGCGATGATCCAAACTCTACGTATGCAAGCTCTGGATATACAAACTCAAACTATGACTTCAATCAAAGAATTATCTATACAGAATTCTATAGAGAAAGTGAAACAACCAAATGTTATGACAGAAGACTTAGATACTCAACAAATATAGACAATAGAAAACACAAAAAAGAAACTGATAATAGAGAACAAGGAAAGGACGTTTCTTATAAACCAGAAGGAATTTGAAGATAAACAAGAAAAACAGATGACAGAGAAGATAAATACTTCGGGACAACTTCATCGAACTGGAAAAATAAAGAGACTACCGGTTAAATCAATTAGTCCTCTTAAGAAAACATCAACTGGATGTTCTTATCAACATCAAACAATAGCCACAACAATACAAGGAGATTTTTTTGATGATTTAAGGCAAAAATACGAAAAATGACCTGGCAGAGGAAAAAAGCCAGAATATGATTGAAAAAGATTGGGGTTCTGATCTATATATGAGATCTAAAATAGAATATATCTAAATAGATAGAATATGTATTCTGAACACAAGACATTGTAACGATTTGAGATAAAGAAAATTTTGGTCATATAAAATCTAGAAATATGTTGAAATAAGAATGTTATATTGTCATTAGATGGGTAAGATAGATGGTAGAATTTATATATAAGGTGTGTATTTTAAATATTAGAATGTATGAGCAATCGGGATAAAGGAATTGTGTTTAATTAAAAATTTGGAAAAATTAAATACTAAATGTAATCTGAATGTCTACAAATAATTAAGATTTGAATTTAAGATATTGTTATGAGACAAAGGTTAAGTAAAACTTAAAAGTGTAAGTGCTAACAATTAAATTTGTATATGGGTTTGTGGTATAAATGTTGGTAGTTTATTTTTAGTTTTTTTCTCTCTCTCTTTCTGGAAAGGAAGAAAGGAGGAAGTAGAAGGAAGAAAAGAAAAAAAATTATTGTTAGCTCCAAATGTGAGATAGGAGACTTAGAAATTGGGATCATTTAAAACCTGAAATAATAAAGATTAAACGTTAAACTTAAATATCAATGGCAAATTAAAGTTACAAAAAACTTACTAGGTTATTGTCTAAAAGGTGGAATGTCAAATTAATTAAGGTATGTATAGACTGAAGATTATTGATGAATATTAGAAAGGTATTTTTTGTTTGATTACTAGAATAAGAACTGTATTGGTTTGAACATGACAATAGATATCATGGGGGAAAGGGAGGGAATTAATTTGTTGTAATAATTTGAGATTTGTACTGATGATATTCAAATGTTACGGAATTACTGTGCTCAGCCGCCACGCTACTTTTCAAATATGTAAATGTAATATTGTAAAATCAATAAAAAAAACTTGAAACTGAAAAAAAAAAGACTGGATGCTGTCTTGACTGCACATAATCAGTTAAAAAATACCTATACTAGGTACGTTCGTGGGGTTTTTAAATTTATTTTTCGTGCTAAATCTTTTTTAAAACTATGAAATATCGATGTGCTGATAATATCGGGGGAAATACTACTGATTACTCCGTAAGGCTCCTTATCGATAACATTGAATCAAGGAAACGAAAATGCAGCAGAGGCAGGCAGACGAAAAGAAACCGTCGTCACGGCTCGGAGTTCCGCGAGTACTGGCCACAGGGGGGCGCCGCTCCCACAGCCAAAATCTTTCGGAGTCTTTGCGCTCAATTGCCAAGCTCAGCGTGTAGCCTCAGAGACTTGGCCCAAAATGTCCGGGTCCTGCTCGGAGATCAAGCTGCGGAAAAGAGCTCTATGCGTCTCCTGGCTTTCCTGGGCCCTCTGGGGCAGCTTGGCCCTGACTCCGGCTTGCGGGTACGTGATCGTGAATTCGGTCTCCTGGTCTGTGCCCAACGAGGTGGAAGAAGAGCTGGACAGCTCCTCCAACGAAGAGGCTCTCCCCGCCCTCCTTGAAGACACCAGCAGCATTTGGAAGCAGAGTTACCCGGCCTCAGTGTACCAAGAAGAAGAGGAGATGCGGACCAGGCCGGGAGCGGGGAGATCGAAGCAAATCTCTTCACCGTCGCGGATGTTTTCTTACCGGAGGGAGAGCTCCAAAGGAGCAGACAGCCCAGCGCTTCCTCCGGAGCAAGCAGCCAGAACGGCCCGGTTAATGATGCATCGCCACGGCTGGGGCTTCTTGGCCACGATATCAAGCCAAGAAAAGGTACTACCACCTTAAGCCGCCTCTCTGATAGCAGGCGGGAAAGGAGGCGTTTGCGTCTTCTCCCTCCGAACGCTGCTCTGCAACAGCGCTACTGTGTTCCTCTTTTCGAGCCTTTGTTGCTGCCTTTCAGCTCTGTTTAGCCACGCACTGGCTCTGCTGAGCAACGCGGTTGTCATTTGGGGACAAATCCACAGTTGAGTGGTGGCTTGAATGAGATGGTTTAATGGGCTTCCTTCCCCCTTCCTGAAAACAGGAGGACAATTTTGTCTCTTTACTGACACCTGCAATGTGGATACCAAAAAAAATAATAAATCCAAAACTAATCAATTAGAGGAAGAATGTATCCAATTTCCAATAATTGTCCAATAATTATTCCAATTATAATAGACAGATTCAAATTTGGTCTTTGTTTTTTTTTAATATTTAAATATGGGGACCAAATTATTAACAGTTGCATAAAGTTTTCATTTATTTATTTTACTTACTTTACTTAAAATTTACTACTGCAACACTAAAATTGAAATGTATTTTCCTCTCATTACTTAAAGAACCTTGATATTTCCAGTTCACTAACAATGGTGCCAGAAGATGTTTGTAATATACTAATTTCAAATTGCCTGCGATAAAGGGGGAGGAGCCAAGTTTGAAATAATTTAAAATGCATGTTTAAGAATTGCTGCTCTAACAATGAAATGTGTGTTTGCATATTTACTCTTTATAACTTGGAAACTAGGCATATGTAAGAACTTTCCAGAACAGCCTTTTATGCATTATTATTTCAACAAAGAGATTCAGTTTGGTGTAGTGCTTATAAGGCACCAGGTTAGAGACCTAAAGACATGTCCCATCTCTGGTGTAAAGGCATCTGAGTGACGTTGAACCAGTCATTCTTTTTCTCAGCCCTAGAAGAAATCAACGGCAAACCACTGCTGAAATCTTGTTAAGAAAACTGCAGGAGTCAAAACTTGATTGGAACGCACAAAATCCAAAGATAGGATTTCAATAAAGTTACACATTTAATTCTGAGATCAAATATCACATCTCCATAATGGTCAAGATACTTCCTGTAATGGAATTGTGAAAAAGGAATCAATTGTGACTTTATTTCCCAATATATGTCATTTTTTTAATACGCACTTTATTTTTATATAGATATTGGGCATACTGGAAATTCAAATAGAATAGAATAGAATAGAATAGAATAGAATAGAATAGAATAGAATAGAATAGAATAGAATAGAATAGAATAGAATAGAATAGAATAGAATAGAATAGAATCTTGGAGGTCTTCTAGTCCAGCCCCCTGATCAAGCAGGAGAACTATATCATTTCAGACAAGTGACTGTCTAGTCTCTTCTTAAAAATCTCCAGTGATGGAGCGCCCACGATTTCTGAAGGCAAGCTGTTCCACTGATTAATTGTCCTCACTGTCAGGAAGTTTCTCCTTAATTCTCTCTTTGATCAGTTTCCAACCATTGTTTCTTGTCCTTCCCTCTGGTGCTTTGGAGAATATCGTGACCCCTTCTTCTTTGTGGCAGCCCCTCAAATACTGGAATACTGCTATCATGTCGCCTCTGTTTCTTCTTTTCTTTAGACTAGCCAAACCCAAGTCCTGCAGCAGTTCTTCATATATTTTAGTCTCCAGGCCTTTGATCATTTTTAGTTGCTCTTCTCTGAACTTTTTCCAAGGTCTCAACATCTTTTTTGTAGTATGGTGATCAGAATTAGTTGCAATATTCCAGGTGTGGTCTTACTAGAGTTTTATAAAGCGATACTAATACTTCGCGTGATCTTGATTTTATGCCTCTGTTTATACAACCCAGGATTGTATTAGCTTTTTTGGCTACTGCTGCACACTGCTGGCTCATAGTCAAGTGATCGTCCACTAGGACTCCAAGGTCCCTCTCACAGTTACTGTTTTTGAGCCAGGTCTTGCCTAATCTTTACTTAAACCTTTGATTTTTCCTGCCTAAATGTAAAACTTTGCTTTTCTCCACATTAAAACTCATTTTGTTGGATAGGGCCCATTGTGCAAGTTTGTCAAGATCTTTTTGGATCCTGAGCTGGGGTGTTGGCTATTCCTGCCATTTTAATGTCATCTGCAAATTTGATGAGTTCCCCTTCTATTCCCTCAGTATCTAAGTCATTAATGAAGATATTAAAGAGTACTGGGCCTAAGACAGAGCCTGATGGTACCCCACTGCTTACTTCTCTCCTTGTGGATGTAGTACAATTGAGGACTATTTGCTGAGTATGGTTTGTCAGCCAGCTACAGATCCAGCTGATGGTATTGTTGCTTTTTCTAACTTATTAAGCAGCAGGTTGTGGTCTACTTTGTCAAATGCCTTACTGAAGTCTAAGTGTACTATGTCCACAGCATTTTGCTGGTCTATTAATTTAGTCACTTTATCAAAGAATGAAATAAAATTGGTTTGGCGTGATCTGTTTTTTATATAAAAATTTTATTAATTTTCTAGTGTTACAATCAAATACTTAATAGACAATGTGTTGTCTGGGTCCATTAGTAATTCAGTGGTATATATTAACTTCTTCAATCTAGATCCAATATTACACGATCAAATGTTTCCTCTCTTCTTCCAGTAGTACCTGTTTTCCCACACTAGACAAATACAATTCTTATTGTTATTAATAAATATATAATTCAATATCAACATCTTTGTTACATTTTTCTCATAATATCAATAATGTTAGTTTTAGGTAACTTTTCTAACCAAAACATATCTAATTGCTTTTGCACTTAATATCCATATGTTCAATCAGTATCCTGTTTCGCTTTTTTAATTATTTTAATTTCCCATCAGTGTTCAAAATGTGTCTATTGTTTATAATTTCAAAGTAAGTTATATTTGGATAACCAAAAGTTTCCCTTATTCAAACTTCAAGCATTTTCCTGTTTCCCTTCTCATAACAAAATCTAATATTCTAATTACAAATCTTATCTTTCTAGTTATGATAATACTTCTATTTCTAGCAATTATCTAGTCTTCACCATATTCAAACATTTAGTTAATAATATAATATCCCATCTAATGGATCAAAAGCTCTATTTTCTTTAGTCTTACTCTAGCTTTCTTCCTTTGCCAACTAACTTTCCAAGTCAATGTATTTGAATCATCAAGTAATTTTTCCTCTGTTTTTGTGTATATTGTTTGGAATAAGAAAGACCATTTGGTTGAAGTGTGTTTGGAAGAAAAAACCCATTGATATTCATTTAACAGCCTCCTTCCTTCTCCAATTCCCACAGTTCTCCTAACAGCTCTATCTTCCATTCAATCAGTTCTTCTTCCTTTTCCTCAAATGTGTCCTGAATTCTTGATTGGTAAGATGTCTTTTCCATTTCTGATATTATCGCTCCGTCTTCTAGTTCTTTGGATGTGCTTCCTCTAGTTTTCCTTCTATTTTCTGAGTAGTTAGTTCCTTTTTTGTAGTCATGTTCTGTAAATTTAGATTAGAAAATTGTTCTTTTATCTCCTTTGTGTTATTTCTAGTCTCATCACAAGCTAAAGCAATAGTGTCTTGTATTAATTTCAACATGGAGAAAATTTCTTTCTGATCTTCATCTGTATTTTCTTGGTGGTATATCAAACTGAAGACTTTGGGAACATGTGTTAAAGATGGTTTTTTACCATTTAAAGCTGAGTATGGGACATCCATTTCATTTTTTGTAGGTGGTCTTTATAATAAACATTGTTCATCAATCAAAGATTTGTAATCCAAAATATTCCATCATCTCAAGCAATGAAGTGTGTTTCTCCTGCAGGGAAATAGTTCCACAACACAGCTCTGAAAGTCAGTTAATATTTAGATTCGTAGTTCAGGCAGGCCAGTTTCAAAATAGTTCATCATCTCTGCCACACTGATAAGCAGCCCAAAAGTTTTTTTCCCTTTTCCCATCTACAGTCTTCAAAAGTGAAAGTTTCCAAGAACAGAAGCAAAAGTCTTATCTAAATCTGGGCTTCAAGCCAAGTTTCCTTTAGGCATAACAAATTGTAGTGCTGTAATTCTCCACTAGATGTCATTAGCACTTTTCCAGCTTTTTAAATCCAAACTTATATTACAAACTTTTCAAATCTTTTTTTAAAATCTCAAAAACACTTTTAGTGCCCAAATTTCAAAGCCATGTATGTGTATTAATTCCAAATTAATCTTGTAATTTTCTCTGCTTCCCCCAAGTAATTAATTCACCGCTTTTCTTTTCCTGAGGGAATGGGGCAGAAATTCCCCTTCCCTCTCTCATCAGGGAGAGTGCTTTGGGCAGTTTTTTCCAGGAAGAAGTCTTAGAGTCATAAAGAGAGGATAGAGTCTCACCCAGTTTCATCCACGTTGCTGAAAGGTTGCTGGTTAGTGCTTATTGTCTTCCATTGTCAGCAGCTTCCCTCACTGGTTTGGAGAGCTTCCTCAGATCAAACAGAAGGGCCGCCACCCTCTTGCGATCAACGAGGGTCCCCTCCTTGCTTGTCACCTCTATGAGGTCCCCAGTGGGGCAAAATCGAACGTGAAAGATGGAGCCCCGTCTTCCAGCGCCCGTTCCACCACGACATCAAAACCGGAAGCCGGCATGATCTGTTTTTGACAAACCCGTGCTGGCTACTAGTTATAACTTTGTTTGCTTCTAATTAGAATAGAATTCTTTATTGGCCAAGTGTGATTGGACACACAAGGAATTTGTCTCTGGTGCATAAAATTCTGACCTTTATCTTATCCTACATTTAAATATATGAAGTATATGAAAATGCTTTCATATACTGGTTTTCCAAGGCAAATATCAAGGCTACCTAGATCACTTAGAATGTTCCCCATTTCTTCCAAAGTATTAAAACCTTACTCTTAATTTTAGGGCATCTACATTTCAGATAATTGTCCCCTCAATTCTTCACCCAAATTATTAATTAAAATGTTGAATAGCATAGGGCTCTTTATTTGATACTGTTCTGCAAGTTAATACAGAATCATTTATGAGTATTCTCTGGATAGGGTCAATCAGCCAGTTATGAAGTCATTTACCAGTTGTGCCATCTCGCTCATATTTAACTATTTTAATAATGCAGCAAAAAGTATATGATTCATAAGTTGGCTCACAGAAATTAATGCTAAGAGATGACCTGGATGAATTTTAACTTAAGAAGAAAATAAGAGATTACATAAAGTTTTGAGGATCTAAAGAAATTAAGCAAAGTATAATATGCTACAGAGATTTAAGGGACAACAGCTACAACAACCTGTAATTTATCTTATTCCATGTAGGTATCTGAGCAGGTGTCACCAACCAGCTCACCTGAGCTGATCATGAAAAGCTAGGCAGGATAATACTTGAACTTTATTGATCCCAGGAAATCCAGGCTAGTAGGGTACATTGAGAAACTGAAAAATCTCCAAGAAGAAGGCAGTGGCAGCTCACTACGTTACTGCCTTAAAAACTATATGGATGGGCCCACAAAGTTCTCAGTAGTCAGACTGACTCAACAGCAATTTTGCTTTAATGTATTTATAATCTTTTCATTTAGAAATATAAAAATAATGTGAATATTAATGTTTTTGTTCCCAACTAACCTTAAGTATTAGTAATATAAAAGAGATTAGATTCAGGTAGTCCTTGAATTACAACAGTTCATTTAGTGACTGTTTGAAGTTATAATGGCACTAAAAAAGTGACTTATGACTGTTTTTCGTACTTATGACCATTGTAATATCCCCATGGTCACATGATTAACATTTAGACACTTTGCAACTGACTCATATTTATGATAGTTGCAGTGTTCCAGAGTCATGTAATCACCTTTTGGTTCTGGCAAGGAAAGTCAATGGGGAAGCCAGATTCACTTAACAACCATGTTACTAACTTAACAACTGCAATATTCACTTAACATCTGTATCAAGAAAGGTCATAAAATGGAGCAAAAATAATTTAGCAACTGTCTTGCTTACCAATGGAAATTTTGGGTTCAATTGTGGTTGAAAGTTGAGGATTACCTATTGTCATTTTTTAAAGTAGGGATGGGATCCTTAGGTCTCCAAATATTGTTCAGGTTGAACTACAACTTCCATCAATTCTTATTCTTGGTTGAAGCCTATTGAGAGTTGTAATTCAAACATATATAGCATTGAAGACCTGTTTCTCCAGCTTCCTATTAAAACTATAAAGAGCAAGTTTGGACAAAATTAAGGCATTCCTTAGATAAAGTAGTCTAATGTTGGATTTTAAAAATATTGAACAACATCTAGTGCCCAGACATCTAGTGTAACTATTGCAGTCTAATACTAAGTTTCATATTTTCTACCATTTGAAGAGTCCAAATCATTTTCTAAGGCAGTTTTCCCCACACAGAATGTATTACTTTTTTTAATGTAAAATGTCTATGTGAGATTGTCTGCTAGTAATTCCATTTTTTGCTGAAGAAACCTAGGAGGAAGACTGATCACCCGCATAAAAAACTTAATGTATTTGTGGTTTGGGTTGATATTTTAGTCAAAGACAGTACAAAATTAAGTTAACAAGCTTAATGGGGTAACAAACCAAAATTATGTTGACTTTATTTTTAAAATTATTGGGTATATTTTAAAACCCACAACTTGTTTCAAAATACAGTTAATATATATTATTAGATGATATATGAAATATATACCTTTGTAAAAAGGTATAAAATTTTATTTTAATTTATGTTACATACATGCAGGTTCTTGCTTTGAAGTGCAATTTATTATGATAATTTTTATTTATTAATCCAAGTTTTAAACTGATTATCTTTGACTTCTGGTCTAAAAGTGTAATAAAAGTATTCTATTCCACTCTGTAAATTATACATTTTCATGATTTGTTATGTGAGAGTATGCTACATAAAAAATGATTTAATATAAATTACAATTCGCACATACATACATACATGAAAGAATTTTTAAAAATTACCATTTCCTATCAGCTGTTAATATCTTTCACCTCATTGTTGTCCTTCTATTGGATGGGACTATGTACTCTCACAAATAAAAAATATTTAAAATTCTTCAGTGTTTTTAACAGGGTACTTAAGGATGTAATTTTCACATTCCCATTGAAACTGAAGGCATTCATATTGTTTAATCTTAATTAGTTTAGTTTAGTGAGGTTATGTTTTGTTTTTTAACAATAATATTTAAATTCTAATTGTATATATTACCAGATTATACAATCATTGATACATGTTTATGTGTACGTGAAGGAGAGAGAAGGAGAAGAGAGGGATAATAAGAACAAGGCAATTTCACTCTTCATTACTTGGTAGCATTCTGGCTATGAATGATAGGAATTGTAGTCTAATAAGAAGATGTTGGATTGGGAGGTCTGCTTGCTAACAAACGTAATTGTATTATGAACATGCCTGCTATCTGCCTTTTACGGCAGTCAAGAGGCAAAGAACATACTATAACTCACAATTAGCCCACAGGACCAAACAAGTCCAATGCTTATTTAAAATGCTGTCTGTTTTGTCCCAGAGCAAACCCTCTTTCAAATTAAGAGAACTGTAACAGCATTTTTGGCTACAGCCCAGGGAAAAATAGGGATTATACTTGAGAGGAGAAAAGAAAAAGTTAGGATTTCTCCTGGGCACAGCTCAAGTCACATTTTGTTTGTACAATTCATAAGCAATTTACTTTGTCCTCAAATTTAAATTCATTAGTTACTATTACACTGCAATGTACAATCCGCAGAAAAATAACATGTATTACCTCCCTATTCTCTGAAGCACTTTTTAAAATTTAAAATGAAGCGGTGCACTACCCCAATTAACATTTTTGTTATGTACAACAATATTGTTAAAATTCATACAGAACTGGAGGACATTGTAGCTGACTCCAACATTCTTACAGCACAACTTTATACATGCCAAAATAAATCCTAATTTGATTTTCTTTCTAGCAAGAAAGAAGTCACAGCAGATGGCTAATTCAGAAGGTGAAGTAAGACTGCATCTATAGTAATTAATATTTGGTTGGTAGATCACCAAGAAATCTAATCTGGAAAGTGCAAAAATAATATAAAAAGAGATAATAGCAATCCATTATTCCAGGAGTCCCCAGTTCCCAGTCCGTGGACAAGCACTGGGCCACAGCATGCTAGAAACTGGGTCAAACAAACAAATGAAGACCGTCCATGAGATGCAAGCAGCATCTGAAACCACACCCTCTCCAGTCTGTGGAAAAACGTCTCTCTACGGAATCGGTCCCTAATGCCCCAAAGGTTGGGGGCCACTGCACTGCTCTGTTTTAGCACCATCACCAAAGGGGAGAAAAAACTGTACTTAGAGATATGCATACATACACCAAGGATCGAGCTCAATTCAAGGGAAGATTTCATCTTGAAAAGTTACATTTAAAAAATTATTGCATTAAAAATTTTGCTATGCTTAAAGATCAAGGTAAACTATCACCTTCAGATCTTGTTATAAGTAGCTCTTCATATATGACACACATAAGGCATTTGTATCTGCAGTTGCCTTTATACTCTTGTTTAAAACATTTGATTTTAATTACTTTTGTGGCATTCTGGTTTATTCAACTTGCAGTGAATAAATGGGGTATAATACTGATAAACAAAAGTAGGTGAATAAACAAAAATGCAGTTTCACTAAATTGCTTGAAATTCTGTTAGAAATATTTAGCTCTCTGCATAGAATTATTGCTCCCCAAATAATATAACTTTATAAAATTATCACAAATACTAGAAAGGTATGCAGTAATATATTTTATGAAGGAAGTCTTTATTATTTCTGCACTACAACTATTCCTTTTTATTAGTTTCTAAATGGTGTGTGATAAAAATACTAAATTTAATCTGAAACACTGAACAAAAAGTACAAAAATGTATCTATGAGTATGAGAATAAAACTCCCTTTCTCTTTTTTTATTTATTTCTTAGTGTTTCAGATTAAATGTGATCAATTGCAAATCACTTCTGATATCCAACAGAGTTTAAAGTAAGAAATACCAATATCTAGATTTTAAACTTGCTTCAAAAATATTTGCAACAAAGGTGCTTTATAAGAGGTAATCATTTGGAATTTTTCAGATCCAAGGTACACCATTTGGGACTTGTTTATCTATCAGTGATGGCCCCACAGACAACAGCACTGGGATTCCTTACTTTTACATGACTCCAAAGGATAAAACTGTAGCTGACCTGGTGAAAAACTCAATTGCTTCATTGACATTACCTGAGGCAGAAGGAGATTTTTGCAGGTACAATAATTTTGGAAACTTTTACTGCATAATGATTATTTATTTATTTGTATCCCACCTTTATTATTTTTTACAAATAACTTCAGGAAGTAAACATCTCCAAATACTCCTTCCTCCTCTTAATTTCCCCACAACAACCCTGTGAAGTAGGTTGGGATGAGAGAGAGTGACCAGCCCAAGCTGGGCCTCATGGCTAAGATGGGACTAGAACTCACAGACTCCTGCTTGCTAACTGGGTGCCTTAATCCAGGGGTCCCCAACCCCTGGTCTGTGGACTGACACCAGGCCGCGGCATGCCAGAAACCGGTCCGTGCAAACAAGCAAAGCCCCATCCGCGGGATGCAGGCAGTACATGAAACCACGCTCCCACCGGTCCGCAGAAAAACCTCTCTCCAAGGAACCGGTCCCTGGTGCTCAAAAGGTTGGGGACCTCTGCCTTAATCACTAGACGAAAGTGGCTCATTTTTAGAACAAAAACCTTTTAGGGTCTTTCCAGATAGCAATTGCAGCACAAAAATGTGTTGTTACTCCTCATTTCCTTTGAGAGACGCATGCATAGTCTTTCAGCACTGTTGAAACTGGTTGCTCTGGAATGCCATCAAGTCCAAAATATAATCCAAAGATATAAAAGAAACAAGATCAGAAAATTCATTTTTAGTTATATATCTAGGATAGCAAGTCATAGCTATATTTTCCAAAACAGAAGCAAATGACAATATAAGTTTTTCCAATTCAGTCACTTCAGAAATAATTATCTACAGTCCACTTATTCATTTATGCAGTTTCACAGATTCTTAGATATTCATTAACACAGAAAACTATACCGTTACCAAGTACAAAGCTGACTTCTTAAATGAAGAACACATACACTTTTTCCTGGGTTTCTGATATAAAGATATAGCAGATAAATTTGCAAATTTTAAACAAATTCTATTCAGACAAACAGGCAGGCAATGAGCAAGCAGGGTACAAGAACTGTGATCCAGGCAAAATGATGATAGTCTAATTTATAGGACAAATGGGCTCCATTTTGATCCATTTAAACAACTGACAGTTGCTGAACTTGAAGTTCAAAATACTGCCTTAGATTGACCTCTACTACCAATGATGTACAGCTAATATAATAGCATAGAGAATAAAGAAAGCTGGGAAAACAATTTGCCACCTCAGATGGTTTATGTTTGGTGTTATAACAGAATGCTGAACAGTTTAATGTTATTGCATTTGTACTCTAAAGTGGGGGGACCCCAACTCCCAGCCCACAGCCCAGTACCCATTGGGAACTGGGCCACACAAGCAGCGGGCAAGCAAGCAAGCACACAAAGCTCCATTTATGCAAGCGGTGGGCATGAAATCATCCCCTCTCCCCCCTACCACCACTGCTGCCAATCCACAGAGACAGAAAGCTTTGGGACTGCTGTGCTAAGGAACAGGAAAGGCCTATAGGATTTTTTATTTTAACAAAATCTTTTCTTAGGTGTGTGCATCTTGATGGGGAGGGGAGGGGAAATGTAATAGGAAAACAGTTTGCAGTTCTATTAACATATTCACCTCAGCAGGGGGCAGCACTTCCAAGAAGTCTTGGGAACTAAGCAACCTCACATCTGGTTAATAGTTTGATAAGGGAGCACAGAGGAATTTCAGGGCAGAAAGCAAAACTGAGAATTCAAAAAAATATTTTCTGGAAGAAGGCAGAGTCAAACCTGTTTTACTATATAAAATTGGCAAACAAGTCTGCATGAATGCAATCAGCAGGAGATGGAACTCAAACTTGAATCTCTTACCTAGGCACAAAATTAAATGCCAATGTATCAACCAGTTTTTCTCAACATGTGTGGATTTCAGCTCACAGAATTTCCCATTCAACCACGCTGGCTGGGAAATCTTGAGAGTTGAAGCCCACACATCTTAAAAGTTATCGAAGTTTGAGAACACTAGTACAGACTAAAGACTGAACAGCTGTTTTTTGGAAGAAGAAGCAGTTTAAAAAATATATGACCCCTAAATAGTCAGGACAAGAGATGTTCAGCCTTTTCTCTACCAACAATACATATGACCTTCTTAAGTTGCTTTTCTCTTACCAAGATTTTTCTGTGATAAATGGATATCTAAACCCTGAAGGTAGGGATGTGAAAAACACAATGGGAGAGAATATCAAATGAATAACAACAAACAAAGGTGACAAGCCATTCTCAAGCAGAAAAGTTGTATTGTTGTTATATATTTAATCAGGTAGCTAGCTATTTGACAATAACAAAAAAAGATAGGAGCAAGTAGTTTTCCTGGATCTTTTTGCCCCAATGCCCTTCTAAAAAACAAACAATAATGATACAAAGCACAAAAGATAATCTAGCCATCTTTGAAACTAGTGATCACTATTAGAAAAATAATAAATTCAAGCTCTATTCCACACAAGACTAATGTTGATACATATACATTAGAATCATGAATTAAAAGTTCCTGCTGGGCCAGACTCTTAATATTAAGCCAATTAATTAAAGTAAAAGATACTTTAGCTTTCATATCTCATTTTCAGGATAATTTAGAATCTTTTGGGGGAGATTTTTTTAAGATCATTTTATTATTGTGAGGGGATGGACATTGGTATAAAATATCTCTAATCCTATAACATTGTTTAAAATATATTCCCTTTTCTTTTCATAGCCAAATTATTTACTGAAAGACATCATCATCATATTTTATTTTTTCATTATGGGACTACTAGTCTTTATCATTGACCATAATTCTGCTTGCCTTGTTTAATCTTAAGCATCAATATCTAATGTCTACTTGGTAGAAATATTTAAATTTAGCTGTTATGGCTTCTACCAAATAAACATGAGATATTACCTTCATGGTACATTAAGAAGCTTGTGCTCAAAATTCAATTCCAGAGTTGAATTTGTGTTTGCTTCTGTATGAATGTATTGATTATATTTTTATCTGCCACAGCTGAGAGAGTCCAAGTAGGTCATTGTCTGAAACATATATATATTTTGTTTTGTTTTGTTTTAAAAAAGGTTGTACGCTAGGTGAAGCTTATCATGAAACAACTTGTTGGATGAGCGTCACTCTTGAAGTTTGAAGTTTGCCCTAGCCTAGTGCATCAATATAATTCTTTTTTTTTCTTGACACTGCGAATGATTAGATACAAAGCAGATAAAATGGTTATTCCCATAGATGAGATGTTGGCAGCATTGTTACAGAGACATATATTTTAATAAGCAGATTGCTTGTCTCTCAGCCATTTTTAACTGGGAATTTCTGTTGAGTGAAAAAAAAAACAAATCAGAAAGTAGGTGGGGTGAAAAAATTATCACCATATGATTCACTTGGAATTAGATAAGACTTTGTGTCCTTATAATCTACAGTCCATTTATTCTATACATATATTTTGTTTTGAGATGACTCAAAATATATTGTGCTTATAGTAAATAAAAATATTTTCAAATATCAGCCTAAAAGTTTATTTATATTAGTTTATTTCTATTAATTTACATTATGTAGAATATAGATTATTTCTATCAATAACATTATGTAGTGACAATTCAGTTTTTACTGAACCAAACCTCCCTGCATGATAAGCACATTAGAAAAAAATATTACAATAACCCTTTTCTTCAGAACTATATTCTTCCTTCCTTACCATTGCAACCTGTCTTCAGCCATTACCAAAAATATTGTGATATTAATTATGAAAACACTGGAGTTTTTTCTCTATTCATTTCCTGCTTATCTGTAAATCTATCTGCTAATTTTTACCAAATTGTTCTGCTGAAGTATGTAGAAAGGAACTGGGAAGAAAGGGAAAATCTATAAGCTTTCACCTGGAAGAGAGCTCCACAAATGCATCTTTCCTTTGGGAACCATTTTATAGGATTTTCATCTCTTCCAATAAGGAGAATGTCTGGAATTTTTATTAGCTAAGAAGGATATGGTCCCAGACAGGTGCCTGTTTGTTGAATGCCTACTATAGTGAACATGGCTGGTCATAAAGCATCCATTTCACAAACTAGTAAATTGATGGCAAAAATAGAAGCACCTTGCCTAGAAACGGACCATATGACAAAGCACACATTAAGAATGCTCTACAGATACAATTTCCTTTTTCACTCCATCCCTGGAGTACATATTATTTGCATATAGATCTTACCTAGTTATACAAGACAGTGCTTCACTTTGAAGGATTTCAGACTATTTGGTATTCACAAGCAAAGTAAAAGTTTATGTCAAGGGGAAACTGTCTGCAAGCAAGCAGTAATGTCTCAAAAAAAAAAAATTAAAGAAAATCCTGGAAACTTTCCAATTCATCAGACACAGTTGAGTCAAAAATAAAACTTAGGGAGTAGCATCAATTTCTACCTGGAAATGTCTAGTTTCTGGTTGCAACAGGACTCACCAAAGGACTCTGAAACAACAATACTTGAAAAATAAAATTGAGTTTGAGCTGATCCTTTGAAACTATCTTCATACATAAATGTTACTGTTACATAGATTGGGACAAAAAGAAGTCCTAATATTATACAAAAGTCAAAATAAAATATTTATAATGTGAGCACCTAGAACAGTGGTGGTGAACCTATGGCACGTGTGCCAAAGGCGGCACTCAGAGCCCTCTCTGTGGGCACTCGTGCCATGCCCCAGAGATGGCAACCGTCCCTCTTCAAACAGCCACCCGCTAACTCGCCGAGGTCCCACGTTGCCGGATGCCTCACCCCTGTCCCGTTCCTCCTGGCCTTGCATGCTCTCCTTTTTCTAGGCACGACCCACTGCATTGCCTCCTCAGCTGTCGTCCGTCCATCCAGCTCAGAGGCGGCTTCTCTGAACTGCTGGCAGCGGACTGTGGAGCCCCAGAGTGCACCAGTTGATGGGCCATCAGACTGAGGCTGCTGATGGACACCATCACGCCCCATGCACTCGCTGTCCTGTCAAGCAACAGCCATCTCAGCCCCTGCCTCGCCTTGCCCCGCGGCAATGGCACCCCCACCTCGCCTCGCCCCGCAGGACGAGCCCACTTTAGCCCTACCCACCCAGTCTGCCATGACCACTGCAGCCACGCCCACCCAGTGGGCCACGCCCACTGGCACCCAGTGATAAATAAGTGAGTTTTGAGTTGCAGTTTGGGCACTTGGTCTCTAAAAGGTTCGCCATCACTGACCTAGAATTAAGCAAATAAAGGCATTTGTAAGCCAGCATGTCTTATGGAAATGACTTTATTAACTAAATAATGATTCTGATTTGGGTTTATTTGGATATTAATTATTATGCTTATTATGTCTATGCTTATAGAAAAACAATTGTTGATCCCAATGATCCAAGGTGTACTAGGCTAACCTTTATTGGAAAGATGGTTACAGTGCCTCCAGAAGAACTGGAATCTGTCAAGCAAGCTCTGTTTTCTAGGTCTGTATGAATCTACTGTTATCCTCTGAAGTGTGTCTGGTGGGAAGAAGTGGAGAGAATATAAAATAAGTATTTGGAGTATTATTGGGAAATGTAAGCACTGTCTTCCTGAATACCAGAAAGTCTTTGGAAGAAATTTCTTACTAATCAGATTGTACAGGTAGTCCTTAACTTATGACCATAACTGAGCCCAGAATTTCTGTTACTAAGCAAGACAATTGTTAAGTGGGTTGCACTCAATTTTATGATCTTTTTGCCACAGTTGTTAAGCAATTCATTGTGGTTTTTTAAATGAATCATCCAATTATTAAGTGAATCTGGCTTCTCTCATTGACTTTGCTTGTCGGAAGAGATCTGAAAAGGTCTCAAATGACGAACATGTGGCCCTCAATGCTATAGCCATTGTAAACACATGCCAATTGTCAAGTGCCTGAATTTTAATTATGTGACCATGGAGATGCTGCAAAGGTCATACGTGTGAGGACCGCATGATTCAACATCATTGTAATTTTGAACAGTCACTAAACAAATGGTTGCAAGTAAAAGATTACCTGTAATTGAAAGCAAAAATTCATTCCAGCCATTATTAAGCTCTTTTAAATTCCTTTTGGTCAAAGGCTCAGTTCTCCTAATGATATCACTGTTAATTGAGTAATATCCAAGTTCAGCATGAAGAAATAATAGATAACAAAGTAACTGATCAAATTAAATAGATTTTTCTTACTCTGGAATAGCTCAGTTTTAAGAATATCAACATTAAACAATCCAAAAATTGAATTTCCCTGTGACATACATTACTTCTGGTTTTTTTTCTTTGCATGCATCCCATATTATAATAGAACTAGAATAATTGTTTTGAGTTCCTTCCCTCCATTCTTTCCAAGTCATGACATAATTTATAGATGTATATGTATGGATATATGAATAAAATGAAAAGCAAAAAGGATACATTTTCAAGAGGCATTGTGCAATGATTAGCCAATAACATTTGACGAATCTTGCATTCAAACAATCACTGTTTAAATGTTCACTGCTATATTTTCTAAATATAATACTGAACTGCTGATCTTAAAGATATTAATGTCATAGACAAATCTATAAAATAATGTAACCCAATCATTTCTAGCTTTGGTTCTTTTTCCAGGCACCCCATAATGAGAAAATGGCCTCGCAATTATGAATGGTTCTTTATGAAAATGAATATTGAACATATATGGCTACAGGACTGGTATGGAAGAATTACAACTATTACTTTGGAGGAATATTTCAAAGCAGTTCCTAGTAAAACATAATTGAATTTTAAAGTATGAGAATTCAGCTTTTTCATATTTAATTCAGAACAAAGAGTGTTATATACCATGTTATCAAGTATTTATTTAATAATATTTATGTGCAAAGTTTTGAATGTGGTTCCATCTTAACTGGAGCAGACTTACTTTTGAACATTAGAAAAAAAACTGCAGATGTTAAACAGTCTGGAGACAGATCATATTAAGTTATTGCTTAAGATGTTTTGAATACTTTTGGATTTTTATAAATATGAATCTCACAAGATTTATTGTAATAATAAATTCTAAAACTGGATATAAATTGCAAACCTAGATGTAATGAGTGGTATAATGATTGATATATTATTGTCCCTAACTGCTTTTAATCAAACATCTAGTAACATATTTTACATATGTTGCATTTTAATTCAATTTATATTACAGATTTAATTTTTCCATAACTACAGATTTATCTTTTAAATGAACAATTTAGAAATAGCTTTATGAAAAAAAATAGAAAAAAGCTAAGATCTGTAACTTTCCAGAAATCATTAGATAATTTACTTCATTTCATTATCTCAGACCAACATACAAAATAGTAAGAATACAGCTGGCAGTTATGGTTCTGCACGTAAATATTACTGTAAGAACCTGCCTCAGTTAAGCCCCCCAAAAAGCAGAACTCTTGAAACTTGCATTATCTCAACAGGAACTTTTATTGGAAGGTATAGATAGCAGGATTGTAAGGCAGGATCTGAGGATTTCCCACGCGAAACATTACATGAAGAGAACCCTTTCAAACCCCACCCCAAATGTCCAACAGGCCTGTTTGAATTGAACCAATCAATACATAGGTGTTAAATTGTTGTGGGAAAGAACCGATAAGATGCCATTCTCAAGGCTATCAGGTTTCTCTGCGGTTTCTTCCCATCCGACTGGAGATAAGGCAGAGGGCCGGAGGTACATTCCTTTCACACCCCAAGTGAGATACTTCAAAGAGGATAAAACAGTGGTGGCGAACCTATGGCACGCGTGCCAGAGGTGGCACTCAGAGCCCTCTCTGTGGGCATGCACGCTGTTGCCCCAGCAGAGTTTGCCAGAGCAGCAAACACGTGGCGTTTGGAAGCGACAGGGCAGAAAGTGAGCGAGCAAGCGGTGTTGGCTCCCCCGGGATGCCCCGGAGATGGCGAGGGACTGGCCCCAGCCACGCTCACCGAGTCTGCTGTGACCACTGCAGCCACACCCACCCAATGGGCCACGTCCCCCACGCCTCCTGAGGGCACCACAATGCTGATGCAGCCCTGGCACTTTGCGATAAATAAGTGGTTTTGGGTTGCAGTTTGGGCACTCGGTCTCTAAAAGGTTCCCCATAACTGGGATAGAACAAAGCAAAGGAAGTACATTGCAGAAGACCCATAGGTTATTCCTCCCCCCTTTCCCAGCACTAGCATCCCCTCCCCAATAGAATGGCAGAATCAGAAAATGAAAGCATAAGAAAGAAATACATTGAGGGTCTGACAATTAAGCTACTGCATGAGACCCTTGCTTCTTCTCAGAACTTCCTTGCTTCAGGAAGAAGAGATCTGAAGTTTTTACTTCATATCCAATATTATATTTTTGCTCTTGTTTAAGTCTGAACAAGCCACAGAGAATATTAACAATACTGTGAATTTTAAACAATAGTTTATATTTATTTGATCGATTCATTAATCAGTTGATTGATTGACTTATATCCCTCCATTCTACACTGCTGAGTTCTCATGGTGACCAACAAAAGTTAAAAATGATAGCGTTAGCTAGCTGATAATTTAAAACCAACACTAAAATTTAAGCTGTAATCAATTAAATTCTTGATAAAATATGCATCATTAGAAATATAAATTCTGAAATCACAATTTACAAGGGCTGTGAAATAAACAGAAGCCCATTTGCTGCATGTCAGAAAGAGAAGCCAGTGAGAATATCTTCAAGAGGGTTGTTCCTGCTGGTCCCTTTTTAGTATGCATGGTAATAACAGAGCAAGTGTTCCATTAGAGCAGTGGATCTCAACCTGTGGGTCGAGACCCCATTTGGGGTCGAATGACCATTTCACGGGGGTCGCCAAACAACGCAGTCTGCCATTTTTCCCCCTTTTCCTTAGCTGTGCTACTCCCTTTTATTCTATTGGCTTTTGAAAGCCAATAGAATAGACTCTCTTGAATAGAGTCTAATTCTATTGGCTTTCAAAAGCCAATAGGAATTGTCCAGGCTGTCTCTGCCCTGCTGAGCCCGCCAAAAGTCCCATTCTGCAAACGGTGCTGCAAGTTGTCTGCAGCGAAGACGAGCTGTCTGGAAGTTTCCACCCCTCCCTGCTGAGCAACTACTAAAAATATAAGTAAAGGAGGGCCAGGGGTGGGAGGTGGGAGGCCGGCGGACGCAGGGAGGGTTGCGTGGGGCCCGGCGGGTGCTTTACCTCCCTTGGGCTGGGCCAGCTGGTGGTCGGCCTGCGCCATCTCTGCCGCTTGCCAGCTATGCCTCGGCTGGCGCAGGGGGCGGCACCACGCATGTGCGGTGCTCCCGGGCAGGGAAATTCCTCGACTTACAACCAGTTGGGTAGTCCTCGACTTATTACCGGTTGGGGTCGCGGCATTAAAAAGGTTGAGAACCACTGCATTAGAGGAAAAGGCCCTGAGCTGTTTAAGATTTAAAGGTCAGTTCCAACATTTTAAAGCACTGGCAACCAATGTAGATCTTTCACTAAAGGCATTGTGTGTTTCTGTTATCTTGACAGCATTCTAGCAACTACATTTGTATCAGTGCAGTACTAGTTCTATTTTTAATTTGCAATTCTACTTTTTCAAGAATTGCCCACTATTGAGTACTGCATTACCTGAAATGGAACACAATTAAGGCACAAAACATCATCCCCAATCCTATGGCTGATGAGTTGTCATGGCTGCCAAAACAGGTATATCATTGTGTAAAAGCACACCTCACTGTAGCAGGGTTTAAATCAAATCCCTACAAATTTAAGACAGCTAAAACTGAGCAAGTCCTCCCATATTACAAATCTAGTCTCTTGGGGAAGTACAGTCCTCCTCTCATTTGGACACAATGAGATACTACAATTAATTAAAAATAGAAGCATAAGCTTTGTCACTGAATTCTCAGAGATTTGAATAGAGAAAAGGTATCTGACCAGGTCAGCCTAATACTCACATACATATTAAATGTGGCAACTTCAACCCAGCCAAGTTGAAGATATTATTAGTCCACAATAAGGCATTCCTTTTTTTTTATGCTGATATTTTAAAATGTCAAAAAACAACCTCTTTTTAAAAGTTAAGGGAGAATTTATTTTGGGACCAGTTAATATAGAAGAGACTAGACATTCTTAAATAGCCTCTCTAATATAAATGTCTATAGAGATTCTCATTCATCCAGGTCATGGTTGTCCCAAAGGTGCTTTTTTTCATGAGGCAACTAGACTTCCTTGTTTTACTTTGAAGATGTTTCACTTCTCATCCAAGAAGCTTCTTCAGAGCTGACTCTGAAGAATTTACTATGGAGGTAAGGAATTTACAAGTTTCAATTGACTTTTTCTTGGATATAAGCAAAATAAAATGGTTAAAATATATAATTTAGAGCATTTCTAGATGCAACAATCCATTATTGCCTATTAGTTATCAGTTCCGATCATCATGAACATAATGCTACAGTATGAAAAATTGCTATAAATGTAATTAATCACATTACTGGGAGGTGTAGGAGAAACATGCACACCTGAAACTGGCCTGGCTCCCAAAACAATCCCACATATTAGGTGATGCAGGGATTATAAATTATATTACAGAGTCCCAAAAATGCTTTTTTCACAAGGTAACTGGACTTTCTTGTTTTTCTTTGAAGATGTTTTGCTTCTCATTCAAGAAGCTTCTTCAACTCAGATTGGATGGTAAGGAATGGCAGGATTTATTCTCTTTGCAGAGAGCTGGACATTTGCATTCTTTTAGCAAGTCATTGAAATCCCTGTAGGCTTATCTGTGTCATCAGGGTTACCTGAGTAGTGCAAATGGTCCCAAGGAGTATAAATCCTGCCATTCCCCAGTTTCAGGTGTGCATGTTTCTCCTACACCTCCCAGTAATGTGATTAATTACATTTATATCAATTTTTCATACTGTAGCATTATGTTCATGATGATCGGAACTGATAACTAATAGGCAATAATGGATTGTTGCATCTAGAAATACTCTAAATTATATATTTTAACCATTTTATTTTGCTTATATCCAAGAAAAAGTCAAATTTCTTGTAAATTCCTTACCTCCATAGTAAATTTCAGATGGTTCTTCTGTACTGGAATGATTATTTTAAGAAGCCATGTGGTAAGCAAAAGACGGATCAATAGATTTTATTCTTATTTATGAATAAAATATTATAATGTGCATGCACTCGCTGTTCAGAGTAAAACAGAATGACATATTGGTTTGATTATGCTTCACTAGTACTATATATTGACAATGATGCATTTTTGTGCCTTTGGTGAGATATCATGTATTTTTAGAGTGATGAACAAAGGACATCATCAAGCTGTTCTTAAGAATTTCATTCAGATCCTTCATATCAAACACTAGAACAATAAAAAACTATCTAGCATGATCATGCATTAAATAAGCGATTTATAATTTAAAAATTGGCATATTCAAAAAGTGAGGATGTTTCTTTTGTAAGAACAGCATAAATCTTTTAACATGGCATAGAAGATTGTGTTTGTCAATTATTTTATATACAGTATTATACAACAGATCTTAAGCAATGGTATAATTTCTGTAAATAGCACAGTATTAATTTATGCTCCAGATTTAATGTGATTTAACTATTCTGGGTTGTCTTCATATTTTGTAAAAATGTCCTGGTATCTCACAAATATGGCTTTCATAGTGCCAAGATAAAAGCAATACACATACCTTCAATTACCTGTTTGGGGTATATGCCATTTGCATATGGGCAACACAGGATTTATGTAGCTTGTTGACTGCAAAGAAGTATTTTGGGAGGCGTTTCAATAGTTTTGAAAAGAGAAATAGGGGGTTTAAACATCTGCAATGTGTGAAGAATCTATTTTGCTTCCTCACCTTCCCATATGCAAAGTTTGAGTCCTTTCTACTTTGCAAGCTTTGGAAACTAAAGGTAGGAGTTTACTGACTCTGCTAGTCATTGCCAACTATAGGGGGTGGTGCTCGTTTTCGTTTCAAGGCCATTGAACCAGGGCTGTCCAAAGACATTTCTGCGGTTATATGGTCATGAAGCACTGTTACCTTCCCATTGAAGTGGTACCTATTTATCTACTTGCGTTTGTATGCTTTTGAACTGCTAGGTTGGCAGGAGCTGGGGTGAGGGCAGGAGCTCACCCCATCACATGGAGCTTGGGTCTCAAACCCGGGCTGCCGCCTTTCCAGCCAACAAACTCAGCATCTTAACTCTGAGCCACCATCACCTAATGAACTGTATATTTATTTATTTACGCATTTACTTACTTATTTATTTTTTATTCTATCAAATTTAGAGACTGCCCATCTCTCAGAGCCATTATTTTTTGGACCAGTGTTGGGTTGAGGCATTTCCTGCACTTAAATGGAGGGATCCTCATACAGCTTTCCACCTTAAAAGAAGCCCATTTTTTCCTTATAGTCTCTATTAAAATATAGAAGTCAGAATAAGTGTCTGCTAAACTCCTCAATGAAGTTTTCTTCACCTAACATTTCCCAAGTTGTGATTTAGTGATGGCATAAGATGAAATGTGTAAAATTTCCTATGGAGATCTTAATTTTGTTGATTTTGACTGGCAAAGTAAAATCATTATGTATTCAATCATAAAAAGGGGTGTTCAGGATCAGAATCTGTGACTTAACATGATAGTATTTTAATATAGTTATGCATCTGTAATATTAATGTTTGAAGACTAGCAGACATTAAGCTTTCTAATAAAAAAGCTCCATGACAATTATCATATTTTATATCAGCTATATTTTTGGTGAAAAATGATTTAAAATTATAATTGTAACTGGGTACAATTACACAGCGAGTAATATAGTGTTTGTGGAAGAACTAAGCATTATTTTATCTACTGCTAGTTAACCAAAGAATGTATTTCAAAAATATTTTCCTCAACTGGATAAAAACATTTTCCTTATTTTGCCCTACTTGTCCATTTGCACTTATGAGCAACATGATCATTGTAACACACTGTGACACATTGTAACACAATGTAGACCGACTACCGTACACTGTTAATACAATCAAATATTAATAAAGTATTAATGGAAATGAGAACTATTTTATTAATGAAGTACATTATTGCCTGGTGTAAGGTATGAACTCAGTCATTTATATTTTAAGTCTGAACATTGTTTCCAGTAGTACTATAGTTTGGAAATCTGAGAACTGTAATCACAATTCAAGATCATTGAAAAATAAAACAGTTGAGCTGATTAAATGTCAAAAGCAGGGATACATAAAAAAACAAGATAATAACAATAAATGAGGGTATAATCTTAATGTCCCAATATGGCTTTTCATAAAAGCAAAAAAAAGCAAAAAAAAAGCATACATATGTGTAGTGTTTTCTTTACATATGTAATAATAATAATAATGATAAAGTTGGAAGGGACCTTGGAGGTCATCTAGTCCAACCCCCTGCTCAGGCAGGAAACCTTATACCATTTTGGACAAATGGCTGTCCAGTTTCTTCATTTATTCATTTATTCTAGTTTCCTTTTAATGTAGACCGACTACCGTACAAACTTTCAATGTGACAAGAGTAAGGTTGAAGTCAGTTTCAATACAGAAAGTGCAAGGCTTGTTCTCAGAGTTGAAAATTTTTATCTATCATTGCTTTAAGGAGAATGTGAAGATTCAATAAGCGTTGGTGGGGGGACAAATATATGCTCATCACGTGTATGCCAAGGTTTTCAAATGATTGAATTTTTATGTCTGCAATTAAGCCCCAGATCAACTTTTCTATAACAAAACTTAGCTTTCAATCAAAAGGTGAAAGGGTGGAGGGTATAGGGATTTTAGTGTAATTCAGTAATCATCAACCTCTTCAAGTTTATGATGGGCGGACTTCAACTCCTAGAATTCGCCAGTCAGCTACATTTAAATTTGCCAAGGTTGAGAAACACTAGCGTAATTCCTCAAAGTGTTGCCGAAATGCTAAACAAAGCCCTGCTAATGAATAAAAAAGCTTTCACGACGAGCTGGCCTTCTTAGAGGCTCGCTTTAATAGGGCCTCTTTCGCGCACCGAACTGTAACTCTGAAGTCCACAGAGAAGGAACAAAGTCTCTCACCCATTTCATCCCACGCTATTTCTCCTAAAACAGGCCCTTTTTTCTACTGGCTTGCTCTACGGCAGGGGTGGGATCTATGGTCTTTTTACCATCTGTGAACTTCAACTGGCTGGCTCAGGAATTCTGGGAGTTGAAGTTCACAGATCGTAGAAGGTCCACAGTTCCCCACCTCTGCTCTACGGGGAAAGACTTCAGCGGCTGAATCGCACGCCGAGATAGAAAGCGCAAGCAAAGTCGCAAATTGCAAGCAAGACGTAATAAGCGTTCGGGGTCGGAGTGCTGAGCCCCGCGACTCCGCTCGGCTGTAGTCGAAGACTCCCGAGCCTTCTAATCCTCTTTGGAAACCTGGGTAGAAATGTTCGCTCATAAAGGTGCGCGGCCGAAGCGCTCGGAAACCTGGCGCGGAGGAGGAGAAAAAGGATGAACCTGAGGGAACTTAGTCACCGCCTCTATCTACTAAGCTCAGGCGCCGATCTGCCGGCAAGGTGGGCCGCCTCTTGGGCAAGGCGGCAATCCAGAAGCGCTTGCTTACGCCGCCGAAACCCGTATCCCAAGTCAGCGGGCGAGACCACTCTGTCTCAGACTCCGGCTGGCTCGCTCGCCTTGTACATCCGGAAACAATGGTGCCGTCGCACCGCGTGACGCTACTTTTCCTGGCGGTGGGGGGATGCCCGCGGGTCTCCTGGTCGCTGGTCTGGTACACAGCCTGGGTGAGCACGGTGTACATCGAGCCGGACACCAACCGCACGGTGCGGGACAGTGCGGAAAGCGGGCGCTACGGGAACAGCTCGCCCAAAGAGAGCGCGCAGGGCCTAGTGGGCATCCCTTGCGGCGGAACAGCCCACCACATGGCGGGCTGCGACCCGAAGGTGGAATACGAGATACCCATGCAGCCCGGAAGCTCCTCGGGAGAAAAAAAGGCGGGATCGCTCTTCTCGCCGCCTCAGTCCTGGATCGCCTTGGTGGCCCACGGAGGCTGCCCCTTGAAGGACAAAGTTGCCAACGCAGCAAGAAGGAAAGCGGCCGCCGTGGTCATCTACAACGAGCCTCAGTTTGGCAACTCCACTCTTACCTCTATGTCGTACCTCGGTCAGTGTAGTGAGGGGAGAAATAAGGAAAGTAATTTGAAAACTATTTTTGTTGCGAAGGGGGTTGGGTGAGTGCCGACAGCGATGGTAAGGGACTGGGAAGGTAAAAACAGGATTTTTCCCTCTGAAGTGGCGAAACTCGGTATGAATGAAATCTTGGAACCGGCCTTGATCAACCTGTTGCCATTTGGTCAAGGGGGAGGAGGAGCCTGCATTAACTTGGAATAGGATATTGTGAAATAAAAGTGGATTTAACTACAATTTTCACATGTAGAAGAAGAAAGTTAAGGGCAGGAGGTTGAATCAAAGCAAAAGCACATTCAGACTTCTCCCACCAGTTGTCTACCAAATATCTCAAAAGCCTACATGGAAAGTATCATATTCATCCTTAAGTAGCCAAACTAGAAAATATTTTATTTCTGGGGTGCAAAATCAAGAGCCTAGTCCTCTTTTTAAAATGAAGCAAACTCTTCAGACTGTCACCCAAAAGAAGGTTGGAAATTATGGGTAGATATAATTACAGAGGTTTTTTTTCTGTGACGTGATAACAAGGAGCTATTGGTTGAGTCAAGAAACTGGATGGGAGGTAACAAAATTCTCCTGCTCCTTTTATGGAAAAAATGATGCTATTTCAAGTATCACAAAGAAAATTAGGCTAATTAGACTCATGCTATTTAATGAATTTCTATATGAAGAGTTTGTTGTGACCATTATATTCAGTTTTGATGATTATGATGTGCTTTTCAGTTTTCGTGAAACTAAGCATTTATTGCCTCAGATCATCTAAGAATTGTAAAAATTCTGACCAATATTGTGTGTAAATTCTAGGATGGCATATTATATATGATACACAGGAAGTCAACTTTGGATATTCTTGCTGAGAAAGACACTGAAGTTGTTTATAGAAGAAAGTGGATTTTGGCCTTGCAGATGTGGCTGAACCCTCATTGTCTATGTTGTCTGGACTGCTGGGAATTATAATTCAGTAACATCTGGTGGGCCCTTTCTATCTTAGGCCATTTTTCTTGAATTTTATTAAACTTTTTAATTTTTCGTTAGTCAAATTAGTTTATGAGAAGATTATTGTCTTAATTGTTTCCATTGTCCTCATTGCTAACGCAATTAGATGATTCCTGTAAGACTTGCAAAGGCTTTATGTTTTTGTGTTTTTTTCTAAAACATTTCTTTTCGTTTAGTTTTGTTTGTTTTATTGTTGAGATTCCTAATATGTCTCAGAATGGCTACATATATTCTGGAGGGGTATGCTGGAGGCAGAGGAATTCAAAATACCACTGGGCTACAGTGAAAGTTTTGAAACACCAGGTAGCTTTACTGTGGATTTTTCAGTATTTGCTATATATATAAAATTTTAAGGACATAGTAGAAAAATTGCATGTTGCTGATGTCTAAGCAACAAATGATAAATATATCTGTTCCATCAGGAAAGCAAAATATATGAACTTCCAGTTCTGAAGCCCACAGAAGCTGTAATAGATGTGGAAATTGGGGAGAGGCAGAGATCATGGGAAAAACTGGGCTGGAAAAAAATAGGGTTAAATCATAGCCCACTTCCCCTTCTCATAGCACATTTGGAATGCATTCTTGATAAAATGCTGTTAAATAGCAAAATCTAAAACTGGATTTTCTCATTAAAATGCTTTTATGTTTATATTTTATATTTTTTAAAAAAAAACTACAGGCCTATTTAAATACAATTATTTTATTCCAGTAGTGTGAAGCCCAAATAAACTGAGCTGTAAAAACTCCCAATGTCCATCCAGTAGAAATCATCACTGTCCTGTTCCTTTCAGACCTCAGATTTTTTTCTTTAAATGTGAACCATCCTTGCCTAATACTAGAAATGAATCATGGGCCAGCATCTTAAATATTTGGAACATATGGGGCAGAAAAAATCCTGCCAACATTTCAATTAAGTTTAACATAAATCTTAAGTACTATCTAAATTCTATTTTAATTATTTTGCATACTCAAGCTTTATCATTTTGTTGTAGCAATCTGTATATTCCAAAGCAACTGAGGCTGCACAAGGAAAAAAGTCTTGCTTAAAAAAGATGAGCAGATTTAATTTTTATACTTCAGAGCAAGAGGTGATCATTCTAGAATCTAGGAGATATCCTTACCTACTCCCCTTTAGTTCCTAGTCAGATTCTTGGGACCAAGAGACCTCGGAAATAAAACTATGGCAAGAACAATTTTAATTTACTTATAATTATCAGTAAGATAGCTTGAGTTTCTTTCACCAAATAAGAGATGTAGAAGAGTGCATCTGATTCCTGTTTTTCTTCTTTTCAATAGGTACTGCTAATACAGTAGTAATTATGGTTGGGTATCCAAAAGGAATGGAGATCCTAGAGCCAGTCCTAAGAGGAATTCCAGTAAAAATGACTATTAGTGTTGGTAAACAACATGTACAAGAATATATCAACGGACAGTCAGTTGTGTTTGTAGCAATTGCGTTTATCACAATGATGATTATATCTTTAGCATGGCTTATATTTTTTTACGTACAACGTTTTCTCTATACTGGATCACAGTTTAGAAGCCAGGTAATTATTGGTGGTAATTATCTTTTTACCTTGTGTAATGTTAGTGCATCTTCCTGCCTAATCTTTGAATGCTGTTTAACCTGAAATTTGCCTGTTACTATCTGTTATAACTTGTTTCCAGAACTAGATATACCTGAAAATTATAGTTCAGATTAGTACTTTAAGCGAGAGTTAGGTAGCAGTTATTTTCAGTTGATGAAACTAATTGTTATGCTAATTATTATTTTTCTATTATCTGTGGAGGTGTAACTAAGTTGAACTGCCTCTTTAATTAATTTAATAATATACTACAAGCTGAGGCTGTACAGAACTGTCAAAATAAGTTTTTCAACAAGCAGGTGTTGTACAAACACTTAACAGTATTTGAATTGTTGAAACAGCTGCTCCTGAGCTACTTCTAGCACAGGGGTGTCAAACTCGCAATGTCATGTGACATGTTGCGACGTATTGTGATTTTTTTTCCATTGCCGGCAATGGGGTGGGTGCGGTTTTGGCATGGTGCATCCGGCCCGCGGGCCAGCAGTTTGACACCCCGTTCTAGCATAACTGCATTAACAAATTTTTTTTTAATGCTCTGTCCTTGTTCCTATGTATTACATTTCAAACACTTTGCATGGCTCTGCTGAGCAAACACAGTGAAATAAGCTCATGATTTTAGTCCTTGCAACTTCAGTTTCTCTAGTACAGATTTACATAAATTAGGCATAAAGCAGATATAATAGAAAACAATGTGATTTTTTTTCTCATGTTTCTCTTTTGCTGCTTGCTCTTTTCCTTTATTCAACCTATTTGTTTATCTGTACTATTATAACTCAAAGGATCACAGAGTATCAGGGCCTTTCAAAGACATCTCACTCAGCCCTCACCTAGATAGAATCCACGGAGCATGAGTGTGCAGATTTTTGGCTTACCAGGGCCACATTGAGGAATTGTTTTCTTGAGATGTGTGCAAACCTGGTGGCCAACTACAAGAAATGTCTGACCTCTCTGATTGCCACCAAGGGTTTTGTCACCAAGTACTAAGTCATGTTTTGTGAAGGTGTCAAATACTTATTTCACTCATTAAAATGCAAATCAATTTACAACTTTTTTGAAATGCATTTTTTTCTGGATTTTGTTGTTATTCTGTCTCTCACTGTTAAAATAAACTTACCAATACAATTATAGACTGATCATTTCTTTATCAGTGGGCAAATTTATAAAATCAGCAGGGTATCAAATAATATTTTGTCTCACTGTACAATTGCCTCTTTCATCCTACATTTTTCTTCACTAGTTGAAAAACTTAGTTTTTCCCTGTTAAATTATATCTTATTGTTTAAACCCTTTGCTTGAATATTAACCAATGGAAATATTTTGCTTTGGTTCTTAACTAATGGATCAAGCCATTTGAGCAAATATTCTTGAAAGTCTTAATTTTTTAACATAAAGCCATTGTAACTATTTGGCTCAGAAAAAGGGAATATTAGCAAAATGATTATCATATCTGAATTGTGCTATTGCCTTCATCTTGGTCCTTATAGAATATTCTGTGGATTTTCATTTTATGTCTTCATCTTACAATACTGCCCTAATCAAGGAATTACCAACACAAACAAGCATACTAATAGTAAACCACAGCCTACTCTAGGAACTACCAAGAACCCAGCAACATTGACAGGACAAATCACCAGTATATAAAAAGAAGAGCAAAGCCCACTCCCTTCAAGCACTGATGGTGTTATCTATTTTGGTAATGAAACATTTGCAAGAAAACTACCAAGCTCAGAAAGAACCAAGGAAATCTCATGATACATGCTCACTTAAGCTATGACAGATCTTAGATCAGTGTTTATTGCCCCGAAAGATGTTTCTTTGTAACACACACATTAATATATCTTATTTTTTTAAGGGTCAGAGAGAAGAAACAATTGGCGCAATTGCTCAGCTGCCACTCTGTACTCTAAAAGACGAAGATAAGGTAATTAACTAAATTTAGCATTGGAAATAATAAATTTCATTTTTTAATAATGATTTTTAAAAAATATTTGTAATTCCTTTCAAGACGAATGCATTTTCTACTCCATATAAATTATCAGTGGAAATTTAGTAGGATCAATAGATGTCTTTGTTACTTGTTGTATTTTCTTTCAATTTGTGATTAATCAGCTAACTAACTATACTGACAGTCGCATCTCATGTATTTTATTGACACATTCCTTCATATCTTTGAGTTTATATGCTGTGTTTCAATAAACTGTAAATCTAAGTAAGTTTCTCATGATTTGCATCGGTAAAATCATGAAATGTATCTAAATCATAAACTAATAAAATAAATAATCCTAGTTTAATAAAAAATATAGTAAATACAATTTACATAGTGACAGCATCCTTGTATCCAAATGCCTTTCAGAATAATCAAGTTTTAATTAGTTTTTGGAACTCCCAAAATAATGATGTTTCCAGATAAGAGTGTCCCTTATCTGGGACAATGCTGTTCCAAAGTATAGGTGCCACTAATGAAAAATGTTATTTACAGGCTCATGTCCCTTTCACCTTAAGCAAATAGCAGAAAATTTGGATAGAGTGTATATACCAGTCAATACAGACTTCTGTGCAAAAGAGGTGGTCCTATTTGTATCTACAACCTATATAGGGATTTATAGATTAAAATTAATTTTTGAATTGTAACAGATACCTATTGGCAACCAGTGCAGTAATTACTAGTAGTCTTCAACTTTTGACTGTAATTGAGCATTTGTCTGAAATGGTATATAGGCTGCCTTGCTTGAGCAGCGGATTGGACTAGAAGACCTCTGAGATCCCCTTTTTTTTTCATTGCAATTATGGCTTTAATTCATTGAGTGGGTCACTGTATGATTAGACCTGATTTTGTAATCTTTTTTACAACTTTTTTGCTGTGGTCATTAAGCAATTCAGTTTACCCAAGGAGCCTTTTTTTTGTTAGAAACCAGAAATGAACACAAGAAATCAGCAAAGATTAAAAAAATCATGGTCACATGACTATGTGAGGCTGCAAACTGCCATAAAAGTAAACCAGTTGCCAAGCTCCCAAAGTCTGATCACATGACTGGGCGGGAGTAGTGGTACAGCTGTTACAACTTTGAATTTGGGTCTTAAGTATCTTTTGGTAGGTCTGGCATAATTTTTTGCAGTTGTAAGTTGACAACTACCGTGTTTCCTCAAAAATAAAACCCAGTATTATAATTTTTTTTGCCTCCATTAGGTCTTATTTTCGGGGGATGTCTTATTTTTTTCCTGACACCTGTCTCATCTCACGGCAGTGGTACCAACAGCCGCATGGCTTCTGGCCCACTTCGGCATTGTGCCAGTCCTGCTGCCATGAGGCAACAAAAGTGGGGAAGGCAAGGAGCTGCCCCATATGCCCTGCAACCACTGACTGTGCAACAGGGGAAAAAAACCCGGTCTCATGTACAGGGAATCTGCACACTTGGCCTGCTACTGTAAACCTCACTTCTAGTTGATCGATTTAGCAAAGTGAAGGCACAGGGGGAGGCAGGCAGTGAAGATTCCCCATACGTGAAACTGGGTTTTTTCACCCCCTCTGCTAGATTTTTGCTGCCATATTGTTTAACTTTCTTTAAAGATAATTTGATGCAGAACGGGACGGATCTGCATTCTGCATCAAGTAAACTTTAAAGAAATTTATACAGTATGGCAGCAAAAATCCAGCAGCGGGGGGGAAAAATCCTGTTTTTTTGAGACGCCAGACTAGCGTGCATTCATGTGCCTCCAATCCTCTTGCTTTCTGCAAAGCCAGATTGGAGCCCTTGGGCCCCTCCTTTCAGTCAATTTCGGAGCCATTCCAAAAGCAAAGGGAATTGTTCCCACCCTATCACTGCAGGGCTTCATTTCCAAATACCCTCTGCACAGGCTCTGGACAAACCAAGATCCACGACTGAAAAAGCAGCAATGGGAGCGAAGGGCTATTCAAAGGAGGAGGAAGGAGGAGAAAGTGGGAGAAGCCACTGCTGAACAGGCGAGGCGCGATAGGTATCTGGGCATGGTAGGCCTGGCTGCGCAGGCCCTTCAGCACGGTAAGCGGTTGCAGGGTGCTTGGAGCAGCTCCCCCTGCCTCCCCCTTGGCTCATGTCTAGCAACCAGACGGTGTGACAGAATGGGTGGGTGGCCGACCGACCGCCCAGGCTCTTAAGTAGGGCTTATTTTGGGGGTAGGGCTTATTTTTGGGAAAACACAGTACCTTTATAGCTGTTATATGAATGTAATGACGCTGCTTTGCCAGTATATTTGAGGCTGCATCTTGGATGAATTGCAAGTTTGGTTGTCCAGAAGTAGCTCCCTACAGATAGTTCTTGAATTATGAATACAATGAGCCCCAAGTTTCTGTTGCTAAGCAAGACAGTTAAGTGAGGTGCATCCCATTTTATGACCTTTTTTGACACAATAGTTAAGCAAATCATTGTGGTTCTTAAATGAAACATGCAGTTGTTTAGCAAATCTGGCTTTCCCCATTGACTTTGCTGCCAGAAACCAGGTGGGAAGATTGCAAATGGTGATCATGTGACGCTGGGACAGTGCATCTGTCATAAATACATGCCAGTTTCCAAACAACCAAATTTTGATCACATGACCATGGAGATGTTGCAATAGTCCTAAGTGTGAAAAACAGTCATAAGTCACTTTTTTCAGTGCCATGGTTAACAGTCACTAAATGAATGGTTATGAGTCAAGAATTACCTGCATAGTATTCTCAATAAATGGCAATATTGCAGTATTCTCAATAAATGGCAATCAAGATACGAGTTTCTGTGGGCAGAGCTTTCTGCTTCAAGTAGAACCCCAACTTGTGCAGTAGCCCAATCTGGATAAATATCCCTGCAGCCTCCATTTTCCTTGCTACCATAGCTAGAAGTCCAGGAGGATTCTCAAATTACAGAGCTGCTTCCTCATGCAGAATTATCACCAGAGCTAGAAGAGAATTCTTTGGAGTAAAAAGCAACTCTGTCTTTCCAGACTCTAGTCTAATGCCTGTCTGTTTCATCCAGATTCAACCAGATCAAGACTTCCTTGGCTCAGAGTTAACACGTTTTGCTAATATCAAGATAATTTGATTTAAATGTATTTTCAAAAAGAAAGAAAAATATACTTCAATACTTATACAGTATGTCTGCCATATCCTAGTCCTATTAGACTATGTAACAGAGGTACATAGTCTGGTAGATCTTTGTATAACATGGAATTAGCCATCTCAGTTTTAAATACCACCAACTCAGTGCTCTTCCAAACATTATAATTGACAACTGAATTGAAGCAATTGACAACTACTTGCTTCCAGGTCTTAGACTTATTTAATTTTCAAATCTTATTTCCTTTGTACAAAGTTCCAACTAATGGAATTCAGGGTTTCAGTAAAAACAATAGAAGACAGCAACACTGCTCACAATTATCCTAGTCTTTCATTTTTTCAAAAATTCTGGTTCTACTGCCTAACTGAATACATTGATTGCTTCTTCTCAGAATTGGCCCTGAGTGTATATATTTCAAGCTGTTTTTGTATTACCAATGTACTTAAATGTGGCTTTATTTTTTTTAAGTGTTGGGCTATTGATGCAGAAAATTGTGCTATATGCATCGAAAACTATAAAGCAAAAGATACTGTTCGACTTCTGCCTTGCAAGTAAGTTTATTAAACATTTTAACTTTGCTTCAATTAGAAATATTTAACAAAAAAAGTTCACAGAATGTTTAAAAGGGGGTACACACATTGAAACTATTAGCCAATATGTAGTTCATTCAAGTATAAAGATTGGAGTCACTAAATCTATGTCACAATGTGACTGTTACAGGAGAAAGAAGTACATTGTATGCCACACTGGGAAAAACTGGAATATACACTAAATCTAATAAATTTAAGAGAATTTGTTTTGGTTGATGTTAAGGCAAGTTTTCTTTTTAAATTTTTTACAACTTAAAGTATTGTAAGAATTGCTATTTTTTATGGAATAGAAATATCAGATCTAAAGGCAAACATTATAAAATTTCATTACAAAACCTATTTCTGCTAGAATATATTTAGAAGAGGTAGTTCATTTTCCTTATTGATCTCACATTGGATAATTTATTCTCCTTAAATGAGTGATCATTAATTATGTCTTCAGGTCATAAAATATTTTAACAATAATTCATACTACAAGAAATATCAGTCTGTTTTGATTGCTTGTTTAGGAAATTTATCAGATCAGGGCTTGCTTTCATATACGTAACTTTTATTTTTTTATTTATTTAACATATTTATATAGTAACCTATTTACCAAGACCAATAAAAACAATCATAGCCATATCAGTTAAAATGGTTTAAAATAAATATCAATAGTCCCACGAAAATAAAATATGCAGAATTTACCCTCATAAGAGCTCCAGTTGCCAGGTCCCAATAGAAGAGAATATTGAGTTAAACTGTGGGGTCTTTGGTGGTCTCTGAGCTTGGTTGTTTTCTTGCAGACATTTCATTATGATATTAGGTAACATTATGGTAACAATCAAGCCCCACAATATAGCCAGGTCTTTATGGATTTGCAGAAAGCAGCAAGGTTGGCTGTGTATGTCAGGGAGGAGGTTAATCCTGTAAGATGGGCACCATGATAGAAAAGGGACATGTCTGAGGACTCACTAATCAATATAGCTTCAGTGATGGAGCATGTCATTTTTGCCTGATCTTGTGGGATAGGCAGAAACTATCTCATGGTAATTGAAATCTTCTAAATAAAAGAGAATGAAATAGAAATTAAACACACCTGTAAATTTTGCTTTGCACAAACAAGGAAGCATAACTGATATCTATTCTCCAACAGTTCTCTGAGTGCCACCTATAACTTTCATTGCATATTACATTTTTGTGTTAGTTTATAATTGTGCTGCTATTGAACATAGCATCTTGTAAAGATATGAATTATGAGCCTAATTAATAGGCTCATAATTGGCAAGTGAGGCATTTCTTTATTCAGAGTTTGTCAAACTCAAAACTTCCTATATTAAGCTTTTATTATCATTTTTTGACCAGCTGATTTTATTCTATAAATATAAAAGTTGGTTTAGAATGTCCTTATACTTGATTTTGATGGTAGTGTTTCTATCTTTAGACATATCTTCCATAAGCTGTGCATTGATCCCTGGTTGCTGGAACAGAGAACATGTCCAATGTGTAAATTAGATATCATGAAAGCGCTAGGATATTGGGTATGTTGCAAACGTATGTAATAAAATATATTTATTTTTAGTAAGGCAAAATATTTTATACAACTTGTGTTATTTGTCCATTAAAATGAGTAAGAAATCTCAGATTTTCAAAAGTTTGCCATTGAGGTTTGGAAAGCGCACTGGGTGGGGGTATAGAAAAACAATCCGGTAACTGCATATAAAGTAAAGTTCAAAGGTTGTTCTTCCCTGGTATGTGTGGCAATATAATATTGTAAGTGCTTCTGTGAACCATACTTATTGCTAAAATGCTTGCTTTTCTTCAGAGATATTCTTAAGCAGTGGATAAACTGTCATTTTGCTGATTTCAGATACTGTAAAGTCTGATTCCATCAAATTTAATAATTTTATTCTTGGAATTTATCAATTAAGCTTCTTCTCTTCAGGTTCTATCCCTTCCATAGTAATTAATGATTTTTTCCTCTAACTTTAAAGGGAGAATCTAAAAAAGTTGCAGTGCCTGAATCAATGAGTAATAACATACCAACTGAGAACTGGAATATTTTTATAGAGGAAGATAGTAACGAAACAAGTGGCTTATCAGCATCCTCTATTAGCTCAGTTGCATTAAATAATGTTTTAAAAGAAAATCTGTGTGAAACGACAATTTTACTTGGTAGGTAATTTTGGAGATTTTTCTTTTTCTAGGAACAAAGTTTTACTTTGTAAATCTAGACTTAGTTTTATTTTTACCTTTGTATCATTTAAATATCTGAGAAACCACATAAGCACTTACATGGTTGTTGTTTGTATAGAGCATTGATCTCAAAATTATATAATTATATAATTTTCTAGATTAGAAAATATGTGACATACTTATCATTAGAATTCAGTACAGTAGTATGGATTTTGTTCTTTCAGTCAGAACAATAATTACAAATAGTTCCATAAGAAATAAATATGATACATGGAAGGTAAAATGAAAATGAGCTAGGGAAAAGAATGGAAAAAACAGGAATACAAATAATTATATTTTGTTCTAGGAAACTGTTTTTAACTGTTTTGGAAATTCAAATTTAATGCATTTAGTGATTCATTTCATTTGTATTTAATACTGATTGTAGGCCAAGTTGGGATATTTTTATTGTTCAAAGTATGCTTAGCTTAATATTTTTATTATGTTCTGATGCAATGCATATTATAAGCATATTACTTGTTATAATTCTTACATTTAGAGTGTAGTTCATCGTCATGAATTTCATATTTCTTTTTATAGAACTGGACAGTGGAGATAATCAACATGATCATTTGCCTTCTGGATCACTACAAATTTAATGAGAATTTGAGAAACTTGAACTGATAGTAAAAAAAATGTTTTTTAAAAAATGTTATGGACTTGAATCTAGCTTAGGAAATATATGCTTCCTGTTTACAAAGCTTTTCTCTATACAAGATAAGATACACTAGTTCTGATTTTGATTCACGAGAAGGAGGAAGAGAAAGAAACTGCTTTTTAAAAAGATTATCTGAAGATGTCAGGTTGTTACTCTTATTCTGGGGGGAAATGGTTCCTTTCATAGTATGCCATTCCTACCTCTTTCTATCTTTGTCTTTTTGTTTGAAACAAAATAAAATCTTATCAGGAAAAAAGCAAATTATAATTATTTCAAAAATACATTTGGAACAGTAATACAAGTATAAACAGCACAAATAAACTATATGGGATATATTATACTATATATGCATAATTAAGAATTATTTTCTTGTAAAATACGGCTTAGCTTAAACATGTAAAACAAAAGCGGTTCTAAAAGTCTTAATATACATCTAAGAGAAAGAAAAAACTCTATATGTAGTGCTACATAACTGTAGCACAATTCGGGTGTTTGGTTTTTTGTTTGGTTTTTACCTATACTGGGTACTTGTAGAATTACATTTCTACTTCAATATTTCAAATTGGAATATTGCTTCATTCATTTAATGTGCTAGATAGCAGCGATGTACCTTTATACAGAAACTGAAAAGCACATGGCCTTAGGCGTATATCAACCATATTATATATAATCAAATTCAGCCCATTGCATTAGTTATTTATTAAATCACTCAAAGGAAAGTGATGAAGTATCTATTTATAGTTATGTATATTCAAACAACTTTCTAGAATACCTGAAAAAATATATAATTTAAAATTAGACTATTATTGTCTGAAACAAGGTGTTTGGTGTTGTTGGTTTTTTTTTTTGTTTGTTTTTTTGCTAAAACCAGAGCTTTAAATAAGGAGAGAAAAATATTTTATTTGATTTCCGAAAAATATATGTTCTGAAGATTTCACCCTGGGTAAAAACAAGCCAGATATATGCCACATGTTATCAATGTTAATATCCATAAGCCTGCAGCTATCTACCAAGAAATGTTGTTGCTAGGGTTAAAGCAACTGATGTCTTCAGACTTCCGGTTCTGCGCACAGCGAAGTACTTGAGGGGTTCAGGACTCGGTGCTCTCCAACTGAGTTTCTTCCTGTTAGGGGACCCTAAATAGGCCAGAAGCCGCCCCAATGAGATGTCAATGAAGGAAAGAAGTCCTAGGGACCACAGAGAGATGGTGGTCAACCCAATCAGTCCAGAAGAAGCCTTCCAGAAACCAACAGGAGAAAGGCTAGCTTAACACCAGAGTCTAGCCCAAGTTGTGAGTAACTGAAGTCAAAAGCACTATTCTAAGCTGATCTTAAACAGTGTGCTTGAATCTAGATAAGAACATTGATTTTCTCTATCCTACCTATCAACTTTCCTGAAGGGGGGGAAATTCCAAGAAGCAAAAAAAAAAAAAAATCTCCGAGAGAGTGAAGGGGGGTTTTTTTGCCCCACCCTTTTGCTAATGGAAGCAGCAAATTGAACCTTTCATGGAGGAATAAAATCTGACAAATGAACCAGTGCTGACACCTACTGGTGGATGAGGATTATGACAGTAATGGTAAAATCTAGGGAAAAAATTAATCTCTACTTGTGACCTAAGCTTTAACAATAGAGAACAGCTGTGTAGATAAAGTGAGACTTACAAACCTGAGGGAACAAAAAAAAACTTTTTTGAACTGTCTGGATTATAAGTATTTATTCAACTTTGAATCCAAAGCTATTTCCAGGGGGGGCGGTAATCTGGACTTTTGGTGATCATGGAAAATCAGAGATTTATAGGAAATACTTATCAAGAAAAAATGAATATTTTTCAAGAGGAGGTATATGATATGTTGCAACTAATTCAAATAACAATGATATCAAATCACAAAGAAATCCAGAATAACTTTGAAAATATAAATCAACTCATCTCCAACTCAATTTTATACCAAAAAAACCCTCAGGAAAATACAACGGAGAAAGAACAGTCAAAACAGATGACTGATCATAAATTTGAGGATAGAGACTTAAAGATGGAATTCTACAAAACAAAGGAATATGACTTAATCCAAGTGGAAAAATTTACAAGAAATACTAGATTTGGAAAAAAAAACTTATATTTCAACACTATAAAATAAACCTGAGGACAAGAAAAAAGGCTGGATAAAACGTACTACAGAGATACCAGGGAAAACACTAGAACTGGAGAGACAAAAAGTGACAAGAGAAGCAGAGAGAAAAAGAAGGAAAAAGATTCCCAATAAAAATGAGTGGGCAAATGCCCTTAATAAAGATAGTGATTTACTTTTTATATTTATAGCAACATTTACAAACATACAGAAAAACCTTTTGATTCAGCAAAATACATCGATCAAGAAAGATACTGGGCAAAGGAAAAAGACTAAGGTGGCAATCAAGAAAATAGATGAAAGGACTTATCAGAGGGAATACTTAAAAAAGAAACATTTGTTTGAATATGGTTAAAGAAATAGAAAAATGTTGTAACCTATATGCTATTCTAAAAGGGATGAATTCTCTAACATAGTATGCTTTTTTCTCTTTTGTGTTCTTGTTCTTGATATGAGTAATAAAAAAAAGTTGAAATGATTTAAATATAGGAAATGTTTTAGATACTTAAATGTGAATTTAAGAAAATTATAAAAAAAATGTTTTGAATAAGAGTTAAAGGACTAGATGACTAGAGGTATTGAATGGAATGATTAAAGATTAAAGATATTCTTAATTATGGTTAAAAAGAATAAGAAATTGAGGAAATAAATATATATTAGCCTAGGAGGGATATATATTTTAAGTAGTATGTTATTTCTTATGTTTCTTTACTCTTGCTCTCCTTTCTTTTTCTTTTCATTGTTTATCTATTTCTTAAGAAATGTAAAAGTGTGAGATGGCTTATACAGAAAAATAGAGTTAAATTTGTAAATGTAATTAATCTTTGAGAAAATCTTCACCAGTAACAATATCTAGAATTTGGTAAGAGAAATAAACTAAAATAACGATTGTAAGAGGATCTATGATAAGGCAACCAGAATGACTGAATAGAAAAGAAATATTATATTGAAATTATTATTTTTAGGAATATTGGAAAAAATTATATGTTCAATTGTTATTTATCAAAATAATAAGAGTTGTATTAATTCAATGTTTGCAAAAGAGGATATTTTGGAGAAAGAGGAAATGAACTAAAATTATTATGTGGAATATGGATTATAGAAATTAATTGTTAATGATTGTTTTACAAATGTAACCCAGACAACACACTGTTCACCAATTATTAAGTGATTTATGTTTTTAAAAAAATTCAATAAAATATATTACAAAAAAACATAAAAAAATAAAACAACTGATGTCTTCAGTGTGTGTAATCTGAATTTGCACTTTCCACAAAATGGTATGTTACGTCAGTTATTTTAATGTCACGGGGCTGAAACAAGCCATAACTTAAGCCAATCTTAAAATTCTATTTTAAAATGGAACATTTGCAATGTCTTAAGTACTAGCCATTTTATTCTGTAACAACTATTTTGCATATTTATCTCTGTATTTATCCTTTTAAGAATTTTGAAAGCAGCATATGAAAACGTGCTGAAATTGTGAAATACGAAACTTTTAAGTTGATTTTTAGTTGCTAAACTAAGTGTGCTTCAGCATTCTCTGAATATGGCATCATAAAAGCCTGTGTTCTTACTTGTGGATTATTTAGGTAGAATTTTAAATTTATTTTTTTTACAGTTTATTCAATTACAAGTTGGAACTAACTGAAATTTATCTTACATAAACTGCAAATTGACTAAATATCTATAGAAAATTTATACCCTATGTGCTGCTGAGGAGTGATGACAATGAAAGGCCGAATTGCAGTGCCTCTTAACAGTTTACTCTCAAGGCATGATGGCAAAGTTCCCGAAGCGACCTTTTTATCTGACCTTGGCAGCACCATAAAAAAACAGTCTATGCTTTCTGCAGCTAGTCCTTTTCTATAGTGAGGGAAAAATTATTTGATCCCCTGCTGATTTTATACATTTGCCCACTGACAAAGAAATGATCGGTCTATAATTGTATTAGTAGGCTTATTTTAATAGTGAGAGACAGAATAACAACAAATCCAGAAAAACACATTTCAAAAAAGTTATAAATTGATTTGCATTTTAATGAGTGAAATAAGTATTTGACCCCTTTGCAAAAAATGATTTGGTGGCAAAACCCTTCTTGGCAATCACAGAGGTCAGACATTTCCTGTAGTTGGCCACCAGGTTTGCACACATCTCAGGATGGATTTTGTCCCACTCCTCTTTGCAGATCTTCTCCAAGTCATTAAGGTTTCGAGGCTAATGTTTGGCAGCTTGAACCTTCAGCTCCCTCCACATATTTTCTATGGGATTAAGGTCCAGGACCTTAATGTGCTTCTTGAGCCACTCTGTTGCCTTGGCCGTGGATCATTGTCATGCTGGAATACCCATCCACAACCAATTTTCAATGCCTGGCTGAGGGAAGGAGGTTCTCATCCAAGATTTGATGGTACGTGGCCCCGTCCATCGTCCCTTTGATGCAGTGAAGTTGTCCTGTCCCCTTAGCAGAAAAACACCCCCAAAGCATACTGTTTCCACCTCCATGTTTGACGGTGTGGGTAGTGTTCTTGGGCTCATAGGCAGCATTCCTCCTCCAAACATGGCGAATTGAGTTGATGCCAAAGAGCTCAATTTTGGTCTCATCTCACCACACTACTTTCACCTAGTTCTCTGAATCATTCAGATTTTCATTGGCAAACTTCAGACATGCTTCTACATGTACTTTCTTGAGCAGGAGGACCTTGCAGGCACTGCAGGATTTCAGTCCTTCACAGCATAGTGCTTTACCAATTGTTTTCTTGGTCCCTACTGCCTTGAGATCATTGACAAGATCTTCCTGTGTAGTTCTGAGCTGATTCCTCACCATTCTCATGATCATTGCAACTCCACGAGGTGAGATCTTGCATGGAGCCCCAGACCGAGGGAGATTGACAGTTATTTTGTGTTTTTTCCATTTGCAAATAATCGCACCAACTGTTGTCACCTTCCCACCAAGCTGCTTGGCAATAGTCTTGTAGCCCATTCCAAGGTCTGCAATCTTTTTTTAAAATATATTTTATTGATTTTTTAACATAAACACCTTGATATTTGGTAAACAGCATGTTGTCTGGGTTTATGTTTACAAAGTAATCAGTCAGTTTCTGTATTCCAAAGTCCACAGAATAGCTTTATTTGCTTTTCTCTTCTTTCAATAATATTCTCTTTGCAACCTTAAATTAATACAATTCTTACTAATTTGATAGATAACAAATATAAAGATTTTTCTAAAATTTCTACCAATAAGAATCACATCAATATGCTTCTTTTCTATCTGGTCATCTTGGTTGCCTCGTCATGAATCCTATTTATAATTCTTATTTAAATTTATTTTCCCTACAATGTTTAAAACATTCTTACTGGTTAAAATTTTCCCAGAGTTAATTATCTTAAAGTATTTAAATCTAGTTTCATGTCTTAAAATGTAAGAAAAAGACACAAAAGAAAAACACAGAAAAGATGAGAAAGAGGAAAAAAGGGAGAGAAAAATAAGAAAATAATATACTACTTAAAATACATATCCCTCTTGAACTAATATACACATTTCCAATTTTTTCTGTTCTTTTTATCCATAATTAAACCTATGTTTAATCTTTAAATGTTCCATTTAATAAATCCAATCATCTAATCTTTTAACTCTATTCAAAACATTTTTCCCATTTTTAGTTATCCATTGGAATTTTCTTAAAATCAATTACATTTAAATATCTAAAACATTTCCTTTATATTGATCATCCCAAACATTTTTCTATTTCTCATATCAAAAAAGGAAAGAGAAAATACTGTCTTACTTGGACAGTTCATCCCTCTTAAATTAAAATCTTCCAATTTTTTCAACCATATTCAAACAAGAGTTTAATTTTTAAATATTCCCTCTGATACATCCCATCATCTAATTCCTCAATTCTCATTTTAGCCCTCTTTTGCCAAGCATCTTTCCCAAGCAATATATCCCATTGAATCAAAGAGTCTTTCCATAATCTTGTAAATGTTGTGGATATAGTAGGCAAATCAAACATCATGTATTTGTAAAAAGATTTTGCCCCTTCATATTCATTGAAGATTTCTCTCATCATCCCTTGTCTCCCCATTTCTTGTGGTACTCCCGACAGCTCAGCTCAGCAATCCATTTTGTCAAATCTTTTTCCTTATCCTCACATTTACTTTGTGGTCTTAGAATACAAGTTATCTTTTCCATGTTCAATGTTTCTTGTAAGTCTTTCTCTACTTGAGTCTCCACTAGTTTATATTCAGTTGTCTACTTTACATGATCTCTCTTTTTTTGTTTTCTGATCATTTAATTGTGACATTAAATTGAGAATGCATTCATTTAAATTTTCAAATTCATTTTTAATTCATGGCTTGAAATTAATATCATTTGCATTTGTTGTAACAGAACATACATTTCCTCCTGGTAATTATTTATTTTTTCTTGGTATGTTCTTTCTGCAGATCTCTGATGCTCCATAATGACCACTTTAAAGTCACAATTTAAATATTTATAATCCAGGAAGGTCAATTTTTTCTAAGTTTTATAGTTCTCACTTTGTAGATAGTCCACAATGTTTTCTTTTGTTACAACTGCTCTTTGTTTAATGAAAACCCTGAAGGTCACAACAGGCTTTTCTTTCTGGGCTGTATATTTAGGGCAGTATTTTCATCTACCATTAGATGTTAGTACCAGTCCATCTTTCAATTTTCTGTATTCCCCCCCCAAAACTTAATTCGCTGCTTATGTTTAGAGGAGGGTGGAGCAAAGAACACCCTCAGTTTCAGAGGATTTTTACTTCTAGTTTTTTTTTTTTTCAGGAAATCAGTCAGATAGAAGAGAGAATCAATATTTTTATCCAGTTCACTCATGCTGTTTACAATCATACTTAATTTAGTGCTTTTTGGCTTTGGCTGCATGTAGCTTGAGCTAGAGTCACAAATGACACTAGCCTGCCTACTGTCAGTTTTTGGAGAGTTTTCCTCAGATATCCGGATCGACCACTGTCTCCCCAGGATCAGCGAGGCTTCCCTCCTTCCTTGCCACCTCTTTGGGGTGGCTTTGGGCCCATTCAGGGTCCCCAGAGAAATCAGCTGTAGGGCACGGATCTTCACAGCTGTTGTTCTAGCTGTGCAGAACCAGAAGCCCCAAGGTCTGCAATCTTGTTTCTGACATCCTTGGACAACTCTTTGGTCTTGGCCACAGTGGAGAGTTTGGAATCTGATTGATTGCTTCTGTGGACAGATGTCTTTTATACAGGTAATAAACTGAGATTAGGAGTATTCTCTTAAAGGGAGTCTCCTAATCTCAGCTTGTTACCTGTATAAAAGACACCTGGGAGCCAGAAATCTTGATTGATAGATCAAATACTTATTTCACTCATTAAAATGCAAATCAATTTATAATTTGTTTGAAATGTGTTTTTCTGGATTTTTTTTTTTGTTGTTGTTCTTATTCTGCCTCCACTGTTAAAATAATCCTACCATTACAATTATAGACTGATTATTTGTCAGTGGGGAAATATACAAAATCAGCAGGGGATCAAATAATTTTTCCCCTCATTAAATGATTACAAAGTAAACAACGGCTGCATTAGGCACAAGTTAAACCATGCAGCCTTGTACTTGATTCTCTTCCTGCCCAAAATAGAGACATCTCAATAGAATCAGTTAATAAATGGACCAATACTATAAGTCAAATAAATCCTTTTACCTATATTATTGTGTTTTTGTCTATCTACTAGTTTTAAATAAACTCCTGAGAAGCAGGTCCTTTTATTTCCAAATTTCTTGGATTTTTTGCTATATTTTTCAGTAGGCTACCTAGATTCTGTAAAGCAAGGCTCCCCAATCCCTAGTCTATGGAATGCAGGCAACACACAAAACCACGCCCCCTCCGGTCCACAAAAAAACCCCTACAGAACTGGTCCCTGGTGCCCAAAAGGTTGGGGGCCACTGCTGTAAAGGATTAGGAATCAAATGTTTAAGGTTGTTTTGTGCAAGGAATTTATTTTATAACTATATTATGATTTTGCAGGGTATTTCCTTGTTTCCCAGCCTTTAGTTTTTCAGAGATCTAGAGAAAATATTGGTGGAAATAAGCCATTTCTGCCTTTGTATAAAAATGAAATTTTTCAAAACTTAAGTTTACTGACCATAGGATACTTTTATAAATAAGCTATTGTTTGTATATTACAAAATAAATGTTTCTGCTACATTTTTATATTATATGAAGGTGGTGGGGTTCTCATTAAGAACCTGTTATAGAACACTATACAGTAAGTATATCACCAATTTAGGCACCATTGATCTATGCATACCCAGCATTGATCAATAAGACACAGCCCCCATGAACTAATTAAGTCAAAATGATTGCTATTTGATGATGCCTTGAAAATGTCTTCTGGAAATAGAATTGAATGTGTTTTTGAACATCCATTTTCAGAGGACAATTGGCTATAAAAATACCTGGGAGATGAAATAGAAGTGTCCTGAATTACACTAGTTTTTTCTGTCAAGACTTGAAAGTGTCAGAATATGTTGAAATGAATATTAGATATCAAAACATCTATTTTTGTTGTAGAAAACTGATTATTAAATCTTTACAGTATCCTGTTCTAATTTATGAGGTGTAAGGCTTAATTATTAGTTGTTATTATACCATTAGAACTTATTACTGCTTGTGTATTTTTAAAACAATCTTTTATTCTAAGTTATTGAAGGAGTGCCTTAAATGTTTTTGCCCCAAAAAATAGCATGAATTTCTCCCATTATATTTATAAATATCCTTTTTTATTTTTTGTGAAGTTTTAGTATGAACTATAATAATTCAGTAGGAGACTCCTGAAAAACTATAAAACTATTATAGGTTTAACTAACCATTTTGCACAGTAAATGATAGGCTAATAAATCGCTTTCAAAATGCCACTTCTCGATCAGAGGTAAATACAGTATTTCACATTAGCAAGATCACTGCCATGATCTATTATTGACAGCCGCTATTTCCCGATGCATAAAGTTAAATTCCCAGTATTCTCAGCAATTTTATATTGACTGGGAAATCCTAGGAGTTTAATGTGCCATTGATCTTAAACTTGTTCAAAACAATCCTAGTTAAGCACTTGATTGAATCAAACATATACTTCAACAAGAGCAGTCTACTCATAGCTTTTAGTAGCACTTTGAAAAAGAAGCATCTTTTAAAAAGAGATGTTCTAAAGCAGGAGTGTCAAACTACCGGCCGGATGCATCATAGCAAAACCGCGCCCACCCCATTGCCAGCAATGGAAAAAAAGTTGCAACACGTTACGTGACATTGCGAGCTTGACATTCCTGTTCTAAAGCTCCATAGCAGCCTGTTACCTTTGCAAGAATGATTCTTGGGTCCGTAGTTTATCATTTTTAGTGGGTGATCCGTTAATTGACAATATGTAAGCTCTCAACTTTTTCTAATTTATTTTTTAAAAAACTGATTAAAAATAAAAATTAGTTGGGACACAGATGACAATAACAATATTTTGCTAGGTAGGTTGACACCCATGTAGAGTTTCAGGTTTAACATCAGGTTAATTTACTTAAAGTTCAAATTAGTTCAGGTTGTTCTATCATCAACAAAAGCTTCAACAGAAAGGCATTATTTAATAAAGCACAAATATTTTAATTGCAAGCAACAAAAAACTATACAGAAATTTTTGCACAATAATCAAATAAAAAAAAATCTTCCACATCAGTCTTATTTGGACATCTTTGTTTCTGAAGGATTTTCACCAGTGTCGAGTGTCTTCAGCAATCGAAAAAGTCCAGCTGCTTCTCTTATCCGGCTGAATTCAATACAAAAGGCTTGTACCTCTATAAATAAGTCCTGTACATTAATTATTTTGTTTCGAATCAAGGATTGCAGGAATACACAAACAAGACGTACCAGCCGATTCTAAAGCAAACAGAAACAATGTTTTTTTTAAAAGAAACATTTGAATAATTTTGATATTATAGCAAAAAATCTGTTGAAGAAGCCAAGTCAACTCATAATTTATCCAGGTTTGCAAGATTGTAGAATTCTGTAATTAACTGATATTCCTAATACCACATAAGTATTTGCTGAAATGTTGCCATTATTTCAAATTAACTCCGAATTACAGGTATTCTCAACTTGCAACCCTTCATTTAGTGGCCCTTTAAAGTTATGAAAAGTGACAGCCAGTTCTCATATTTATAACCATTGTGGCATCCCCACAGTTATATGATCAAAATTTAGGACTTGATAACTAGCAGTTATTTTAGGACAGTTGCATTTTTGAATCGTGATCATCATTTGCAATCTTTCCAGCTTGCTTCCAACAAGCCAGATCAATGGGGAAAGCCAGATTTGCTTAATGATGTCATGATTCACTTAACTGCAATGATTCACTTAACAACCACGGCAAAAAAGATCATAAAATCAGGTAGAAATGAACCACCTTGCTTAAAAACAATTCTGGTCTCAATTGTGGTTATAAATTGGGGACTACCTGTTTCAAAGGAATTAAGGCAAGGTGAAATCGGATTTTTTTGTTCTAATGTTCTAAAGATAAGCCCTTTTTGTTTCCCTTTTTATATTCACTACTTTCAACCAGAAAAGATTATAATGAAAAATATGCAAATATTACACTAATAGGTTTCTCACAATTTAATGGCGGATTATTCTTTCTAATGAATGTAATAATCCAGGCTATGCTAAACAAGCTTATAAATCTGTTTTTGTAAAAGAAAACTGAAGTTATGCACCTGTCTAGATACCAACAGCAAAGCATTACATCTCCCACTTTGTTTCTTCTTCTCTTCCCTCAAAAGTGATAAGAAAAAAAGAAACTGATGACTAAAAGCAGTTTATGACCTTTTCCCAAATTTGACTTATGTTTTGGTAAGAGTTTACTAATGAAAGAAGTCATTCCAGAGGATTTGTGCAAGAATATGTGATGGTTGACTTAATGCAGAAATGTTATCTCTGGAACAGAATTAATGTAAAACAGGAAAGATCAAAAATGAGTTTCTTCCATGATAAGCAGAATAGCTAACAGTGAAGTCTCTTAATAGATCTAGTAGTTTCTTACGTGAAACTTCAAAAAGCTATTATCTTCAAAGTGATGCCTCCTGTAAGGATGGTGAAAGCAGCAAATGATTCATTTATCCTCACAATATGCACCATTGCAAATGATTCATTTATCCTCACAATATGCACCATTATCTGAAGTTTTAAGATTTGGGGGAAAAGCAGGAATAGATTAAGTTCTTTCATTCAATTTCCAATCTAGATTCACCTTGAGAGTACTGTCATTATATATCATCAAATGGTTAGTCACCTGATGTCAGCCCCACTAAGTAAAAATCAACTCCATAGGTAGGCTATTTTTATTGAGATATAATAAAATATTGCAACAAATTCTGAATTGGGGAGGTTTCTGCCTGAGCTGCTTCTGGGTGTTATTTCATTGTGGACTTAATTTGCGTAGGCAATGGATATTGCAGGTCTCCATCTAAGTCATCTTCCTTTCTCCCTATAGTTCAGTTAAGGAATGTCTGCATTCATCAAGGTCAGGAAAATGGCATGCTAATAAAATCTGACATGTAAGTGGAGCATAGGCTCAACATCTCACCCTTTAAAGGGGAAAAATGTGGAAAAAACATCTTTGTTCAAATGGAAAGAGATAAATATCAATACAAAATATAAATATTTCAAAAGGTTAAAATCCTCCTTCAAATGTAAAACCAATAAAGTTATGGACCCTTGAATTGTGAAAAATATCCAGAAACTACAGGGCTACATTTATCCATTAAAGCAATATTCCTATCCAACCAGAAAGTTCTTTGCAGCAATGACTGTTTTTGTATTTTGGCTGTCAATAACATATTTAAGCATATGAATAAGCAAATTTATACAGAGGCACTGAAGTATTCTGCTCTATTCATTCTAGAGAAATATTTAAAGTATAGAGATAAACAGAATTTTGTTATTAAGTTTATATTCTGAAGAAACTTAAATGTGATTTTTGTTTCTGCCCTTGGTCTTCTATGTATGCAACATCTTATGTGTATACTGTATACTGTATGTGAAATATGATAAAAACATAAGGAACTAAAATCTATTTTTTTAGTCAAGAGGTTTTTTGCAGTTCTTAAACTCTGCCACAATATATTTTGCTTCCCTGAATTTTTTCTGTGTCAAATGCTGCATTTTCAATTCTTTTATTCCAAAAGGCTATAGTATGTCTTTGGACACTTACCTGCATATACTTATCCTTAATTTGTTCACAAGTAGAAATACAATTGGATATATAAAGATGAATAAATTCTGGAGGAAGATCAACTGCAGTAGTGAGCCTGTTAAATATTTAGAAGTTAATTATTTTCAAATTGGCCATCTTTGCTGATAATCCATCTGTCACTTCAGTTGTATCATAACAGAGAGCCAGTTTGCCTAGTGGCTAAGGCAGTGATGGCGAACCTTTTAGAGACCGAGTGCCCAAACTGCAACCCAACACCCACTTATGCATCGTCGGATGCTGGGTGGGTGTGGCCCATTGGCTGGGTGTGGCTGCGGTGGTAACAGCAGACTGGGTGGGACTAAAAAATTCAATGAATCAATACCAACTTTGCAAGATCTTTTTTTTTCCCACAAGAAGTTGAAATCTAGTGATTGATTGAACCTTTTTTTTTTTAGGCGGTGGAGGCCTAAAGCAAAAAGGTTTTATAAAACCCAACTGAAGGCCTATGATTGGGGTGACGGCGTGCGTGCCCACAGAGAGGGCTCTGAATGCCGCCTCTGGCACCCATGCCATAGGTTCACCATCACTGGGCTAAGGCATCAGCTTAGAAATCGTAACACTGAGTTCTAGTCCCTCAGGAAAAGCCAGCTGGATGATCTTGGGCCAATTAGTCTCAACCTAACCCACCTCATACGATTGTTATGGGTAAAATAGGACAAAGAAGGAATATTAGATATGTTCATCATCTTTAGTTATTTATAAAAATAATAAAGGCATGATATAAAAATATTTTCTAAAAAATTTTATTTTGCTGTTTTTTATTAATATATACATTGTATTCTTGTTCCATTATATTCTGTGCTTCTAAACATTCTGTTCTTTTAGGTCAGAGGTTCCCAACTGGGGGTGCAAAATGATATTCCAGGGGGTACACAAACCTGGATTTTCAAAATTATAGTGTATATTCATAATTCACCCCGAACTTTTGTAAGGGGTGCGAGAATATATCAGAAGAGTTCTAGGGGTGCAGGGTATACAAAAGGTTGGGAGCCACTGATTTAAGTCATTTTGGACTGCTTATCTTTGTCCACTAATTCATCTTTCACCAATTATCTTGCCCAATTTATACAAAATACATAAAAAGTTTATAGGCCCTAACAAGAGTTAATCATTCTTCATTGTACTTCATTCAGCTATAGCTAAATTATAAATAATTTCCATTATATCTCAATTTATACTGCAAGTTTATACCTGAGATAGAATACAGCTAAGATATTCTGATAGAAGAGGCAACATTTATCCTAATTTTAAAAAGATGATTGATTAGTACTCCAAACACTATCCACATGAAGCTTTTAAATTTTTCAACTAGAAGGGGAACAGTAGTTCTGAGTGATTATATACGATTGTTGCCATATTTCATTCAAAATATTTGTTATATCTCTTTTTTGTTAAATTAAAGCATCTAGCATGACTAACAATACTATTATTAAATGTTATAATACATAAAATATTTAAATGGACCAAAATAACATGCTGTGGTAGAGGACACCCAGTTAATGTAATATCTATCCTTCCTCAGAATGCAACTAAATAATAATTATTGGTTAGATTATGGATATATGAATATATTTTTCTGATTGACTCTCAAAAGCTGCTGCTCATAGTTCACATCAAAATATTCCATTTAGAATGTTATCTTTCCTATCATCAAGGGAAAGGAAACTTTGCAGTCTTCAAAAGAATGAACAATTGTTTTCAGTCATACCATAAGATGCCATTATGTATCACTACAGCATGTTTGAATATTGGCTTTTTATAAACTGAATGTAGTCAAATATTACATTTGAACAGCTACTGTGTTAATCATAGTACCAAAAAGAGTAAATATTGCTGAAATTTATCTCGAAGAATCACCAATACAAATTGTACTGATATAAAAATTACAGAGTAACTGTGTTTGAGTCCAATTAAATAACTGCAAGTGTCTCTCATTAGAACATCACTTCCATGCAAGACTCCTTACAATTCTCTTTCCCCAATATTCTCCCTCCCATGCATATAGACAAGATCTGCTCTATCCTGGCTTCCGGTGGCGATTACCGCGCCGATGGCGGCTTTTCTTTAGCCATCTGTCCTGGGAATGTGTTAAAGCCTGCAGAGACAGCGAACAACAGCTGTTTCGCGGCTTGAAGCCTCCCTCCCTGGGAGAAGGGGAGGAGGTGAGCTTTCTCGGATAGAGGTTGAATTCCCCAGGTCCTCCATAAATTTTTGGGGGGAGGACGAAGGGGGAGAATTCCCTCGGAGTCAGGCTATCTCCGCACCCCAAACAAAGCTAGACGCTGCTTCCACATCTACTGTTTAAAGAGATCTGTGAGTAAAATTAAAAGCGGACGGAGCTGATCAGGAGGATCAGGATTGTGAGAACTTGGGACTTTAACTCAGGAAATAATTAAAGTATCTTCTTCATCCATTATTTTTAAAAAAAGGAAGAAGAGCAAAATGGTGGAGGAATGCCGTTTCTTTGTTTGAAAGGACAATGTTAAGAAAGACTTTCACTTTCATTTAGCAAGAAAGTTTAAACAACGTAACGGACTTTGGTTACTTTTTTTAAAGAGCAAGCTTTCCTTTCTTATTTGGGGGGGGGAATTGTTTTTACTATCCCCTCTTTTCATCTTTTGTAGCTGTTGGTTTTATAAGATCATATAAGACTTATAAGAAGTGGTTTGGAAATGGCTTCTAAACGCCCTGGAATTTCTGCTCTCCCTAAAAGCTCAATTTCCTCGCCGGTAATTCAGACTGTATAGCAATCCAAGCCGAAGTCTCCCCCACCTTCTCCCCACTGCCGGCATTAACACTTAAAGACTTACAAGATGCTTTGGAGAAAACAGCACGACAGATTAAACGAGATGGCAGAGCTTTTTGAGGAGAAAAATAGGGAGATGAGAGAAGATATAGTGCTGGCTCTCTCCAAGGGTTAGCAGCCCATGTAGAGCGTATGGATGAGCATGTGGACAAAGTGGTGGGAAATGTTGAAAGATTAGAAGATAGAGTTGGAAAAGTTGAAAATAATGTTGATATAACACAGAATGAAATTACTATGTCACAATATAGAGACATGGAATTTGCTTTGCGTATAAGAGGGCTGAAGGAGAATTTGCAAGAGAATCTGAGAGAAGAAATTGCAGAAGATTTAGCTCTTATTTTGGGATGTGAACCTGAAGAAATTTTGAGAGAGATAGAAAAAGTTTTTAGGGTTAATTCATGGGTTGCGAGGCAAAGAAATTTACCTAGAGATGTGGTTATTTATTTTTGCAGAAGATCACTTTGTAATGAAATTATACAGGCTTTTTATAAGCAGGGATTTCAAATTGCAGCTCAAGATGTTATAATTTTAAAAGAAATACCTTCAAAAATTCTTAGAAAAAGAAAGGACTTTGCTTTTTTGGCTGAGGAGCTTAAAAAACGACAGGTTCAGTTCAGATGGGATTTACCTGTTGGAATAGTGGTGAACTATGATGGAACACGTTATAGACTTAATACAGTTTTTAAAGCAAGAGATTTTTATGCTTCTGTTCTGAAGGCAGGCACACCACCATTTCCACGATCTAAGAGAATTGATGAAAAGCTTGAAGAACAGCTGGCTGAAAGAGCAATGTCATTAGTCTCAGGAGATTTGCAGGTTGAATCTATGCAACAGTGTTTGGAGACAAAAGATGATCCAAAGGAACAGAGAATGACTCGTGCAGCTCATAGACGTAAAGAAAAAGAACAGCAAAAAGTGGATGCTGGATCTACATCACATTCGATTACCTCAGAGCCAGTGGGAGGAACAAGACCGAAGAGATCATCGATGGCAGATCTACAAGCAGTGTTCCAGAGGCTTCAGGCCACTAAAGATGGCTAAGTTTCTGACATGGAATGTTAATGGTTTGAACTCACCACAGAAAAGAAAGAAAGTTTTTCACTATTTGAAACAACATAAGAATGATGTTGTATGTTTGCAAGAGACTCATATTACTCCAAAGGACCAAAAGTATTTGATTAACTCCCGGCTGGGATTACATTTTATAGCCTCTGCTCTGCAGAAAAAAGGGGGAGTAATTATTTACATGAGGAAAGATTTATCGCCAAAATTAATTGATTCTGACCCACAAGGAAGATTATACAAGATGCACAGGAAAGAGGAGGGCTTAAGGCGCCTAATTTAAAATTGTATTATGATGTGGTGGCTTTAACATTGATTAGTGATTGGCTTAATTTAACTAATAAAAATATACTTTTTCTTGAGGGATGGGATTTATTATATGGATGGCATGCATATTTAATTTATAATAAAAAAATAGATCAGGTTTTTAAATCTCATATTTTAAGAAATGCTTTATTGCGTGTCTGGAAGAAGTATTACTATAGGTTAAACTATTAAAATTCCAATTTGGGGAATTCCTGGACACGCAATAGAGAGGGTATCTAGGGGAGTGAATTTGGATAGGATTTCTTATAAGGAATTACTTAGTTTGGTAGGGAAGGATTGGCAATTAAAAGCTTTAGCTGAATTGAAGCAAGAAAATATTGTACATTCTTGGTTTCAGTACAACCAATTGTTAGTAAGATGGACTTTAGATCAAAAGGTTGGTATTACTTTAGAGGATGTGAATTTGATAAAACAGATTAAAGACCAAACTCGAGCCCATATAAAGACAATTTATAATGTTTTAATAGAATTGGATTCTGAAACGGAGTTAGTTAAAGATTGTATGGTAAAATGGGCTCAAAATATTCAAGAGCCGATTCTACTGGACACATGGGAGACAATTTGGGTTAGAAATGTAAAATTTACTCAAGCTCAAAATTTAAGAGAAAATTTTTATAAAATGTTTTATAGGTGGCATTTGGATCCTCAAAAGCTGTCCTGTATGTATCCTAATTTACAGCCCAAATGTTGGAGATGTGGAAGCTTAGATGCAACTTATTATCATATTTGGTGGACTTGTAAAGATATAAAAGCTTTTTGGATTAAGATTTGGTGGAATATTCAAAAGATTTTTAAGAGAAAGATAAAGTTTACGCCACTATTATTTTTGTTAGGTGTTATTGTAGATCTTGATGTTAAAGAAATTAATTTGATGTTGAATCTGATAACAGCTGCAAGATTATTGGTGGGGCAATATTGGAAGAAAAATTCTTTGCCTACTATGGAAGAATGGATACTTAAGGTGTCTAATTTAGTAGAAATGGCAAAAATCTCCACATATCTGAAGGATTATTCACAAGAAAAATATATTTCTGTTTGGAGAAGATGGATTGATTATATTCAGAATAAATATGAGACTGAAAATTATTATTTAGCTTATGCGTAAATTTTAGATTATTATTAATAGTTTAAGATGGTTGAATTTATATTATTTTTAGTATTATGTTTTAATTATATTATTTATGTTTTTAATTTGTTAATATTTATCTTGAAAAGGAGTTAAAGTATGTTATGGATTTGATTGCTAATATAGTTGGATAATGTTAGTTAAATTATGATTGTTTATTTTTAACCCTGTAATCAGCTTTGGGAAGTGGGGGAGGGGGGAGGGATTTGGGATATATATTGTATAAATTTTTTTAAAACTTTTAATAAAAAAAAAAGATCTGCTCTATCTTAATATAGCATCTGAAACTGCAATTAGAACACCAGTGAAAGGATAATTATAAAGTACCTCCCATAATCACAATTAGCCATTTATACAGGAAAACAAGGATGTTACTAGAGTGGATAGTAAACTAACCTATAGTGATCATTGTCCTAATATCTCAAAGGGTCAAGGGCTTAGGGCAGTGGTGGTGAACCTATGGCACGTGTGCCAGAGACGGCACTCAGACCCCTCTCTGTGGGCACACACACCATGCCCCAGAGATGGCAATTGTCCCTCTTCAACCAGCTGCCCGCTAACTCGCCGAGGTCCCACATGCCGGGATGCATCCCAGCATGGCTAGTTTCCCTCCCCCCCGTCCCATCCCTCCTGGCCTCGCATACTCTTTTTCTGGGCACGACCCGCTGCATCACCTCCTCAGCTGTCAGCCAGCAGTCCAGCTCAGAGGCGGCTTCTCTGAACTGCTGGCGGCGGGCTGTGGAGCTCCAAAGTGGGGCTGTGGCTGCTGACGGACACTGTCGGCCCCCATACGCTCGCTGGCCTCTGTGTGTGAGGGCTGATGGTGTCAGGCAGCAGCTGCCCTGGACCTTGTCTTGCCTTGCCCTGCGACAATGGCACCCCCACCCTATCTTGCCTTGCCTCGCCTCATCTCACCCTGCAGGATGAGTCTCCTGCCCACCGCCCCACCTGCCAGAGACCCCCTGGATCTCCCCCAACCTGCCCGGCTCCCACAGGCATCCCTCCCCACGAGCAATATCGAGGTGACCACGCCCACCCTGGCCACACCAAATCTGCCATGACCACAGCCATGCCCACCCAGTGGGCCATGTCCACCTGGCACCTGGTGATAAATAAGTGGATTTTGGTTTGCGATTTGGGCACTCGGTCTCTAAAAGGTTCGCCATCACTGATTTAGGGCTTTAGATTATATTCCAAACTACCACTTACTTTCCACAGAATGTGTGAAGATCAAATTACAGATAGTCCTTGACTCACAACTATTTGTTTAGTGATCATTTGAAGTTACAATGGCACTGAAAAAAGTGACTTATGACTGGTCCTCACACTTATGCACCATCCCCCTGTTCATGTGATCAAAATTCAGATGTTTGGCAACCAGCATGTGTTCATGATGGTTGCAGTGTCTCAAGGTCATATCACCATTTGCGACTTTCCCAGCCAGCTTCCAACAAGCAATAGATTCCCTTAACAACCATGTGATTCACTTAACAACTGGATCAAAAAAAATCATTAAAGTTGGGCGTAATTTATTTAACAACTGACTTGTTTAGCAACTAAATTCTGGTTCCAGTGATAAGTTGAGGACTACATTTACTTCACTAATACAATCATTCAAAGTATAATTTCTTCATGGGAGAAAACTGTGATGGAATTTTGCAAACTAGCTTCATATAGATGTTGAAAAATCAAACTTGTTTAACTAAATATATATAGTAATAAAAGCATTTTACTTACCGATTTACAACTTCCATTGAATGTAGAGACATGTCCATGTTGACTAATACTGAAAAGTACTCAGTTATCTGACTTGATTGCATTAATTTAAGCAGCATTTCTATAGCTACTAAAGGATTGTTTTCCACCAGATCGGGCAATTTGGCAGGAGTGAGGCCAATATGGTAAACAAGCTTAGGATCTTTCTCCAATTCTCCAAGAAGCTGCATTTTAAAAATGGAAAACAGTTTAAGTATTAACAATTAAGAGATTACCTTTCAACTTAGTTTATTTATCTAAATTACTAGTTAAAATAAAATTATAGAAAAATCGCAGTAATTATTGACAGCCAATATGGCATGATGTGCAAAAATGAGGGGAATTGCCAATAAAGGTTTTAAATTCTATTGCTAGTAAAAGTGATTTCTGTAGAGCTAATAGTTTAAGCATTCATGTTCAAACATTAAAGTACAAAAATATACAAGTCAGCAATTTAAATAGAGTCCTTCAGGACTCTATTCTATCCCCTATCTGAAGCCAATAAAAGTCATATAGAACTTTAGAGACATGTACCATACTTATATTGAATTAAAAATCAGTCAATATGAAATTAAATAAAAAACAAAATTTAAATTTAATAAATAAAAAATCAATTTATTAACTAGTTTTGATTCTTCTCTGGAGGGTTGTGCTCATCATAGATAGGGTATACCCTAGATTTGTAGGTTGTAGATATTGCAAGAAGCATCCTGAGAAGTTTAAGAAACTGCAGTTGCTTCACAAAGTGGCTGCTAGACTAGAAATTAGTGTAAGATAGTGCTGCTCTGGAATCATGATCTCAACTATTAATTTCTTTTTTTGGTACATTTAATGTTGACATTAAGCCATAAAATAGTACAACCTGGTTACCTGAGATACAACCTCTCAATTATCTAGTTACCTGAGAAACAACTTCTTAATTATAAACCTGTCTGGATATTAAGAACTGCAGAATAAGCTGTTCTTGAAGTTGCCCGTGTTCAGAGACGTTTACAGGATATAAAGGAAACGGCCTTCTCTGCAATTGTTCGTTCATTCATTCCTTCCTTCCTTCCTTCCTTCCTTCCTTCATTCATTCATTCATCAAATTTAGTCACATGTTTATTGCACTACAGTAATCCAACTGAATGGTAACTACGGCCTGAGTGGCTGATTAGAGCCTCTCAACCTATCACCACAAGGTAGGCCTTAACAGCAGTTCTAATTCATATCAAGTTCTTCTCCCTGTAGAATGCCAGTGATGCTCTATTTGTCTCTTCTCTTGTTTCATCTGCCTTAAGTCCTCTGTAAACCATGGGGAGTGACAAGATCCATCAGATGGTAGAGGTTGTAAAGGCACAATCCAATCTAAAGCTGTTTTCTCTTCTTGAGCACAGGTTCTTTCTTAAGCACAGGTTCTCCTCAGGGCTGCGTCTTAAGTCCGCTGCTGTTCGCCCTGTTGACCCACAACTGTTGTGCTAGGTTTGCCACCAACTATATTGTGAAGTTCGCAGATGATACAACAGTAGTGGGCCTTATTCAGGATGACAAGGTGGAAGCTTACCGCAAGGAGGTTGAGGGGTTGGTGAACTGGTGTAAGAAAAACAGCCTAGTTTTAAATACCGGAAAAACCAAAGAGATCATTGTCAATTTCAGAAAAGGCAGGCACAGCCACACTTCTCTGTGCATTAATGATTCACCTGTGGAGATGGTTACCAGCATCAAATTCCTGGGTATGCAGCTAACGAGTAGGCTGGCTTGGTCGCTCAACAGTGAGAAACTGGTGAAGCGGGCACAGCAGCGCCTGCATTTTCTGCGTCGCATGAGAAAAGCACATCTTCCTTCCCCTGTCCTGACCACTTTCTACAGGGGGACATTCGAGAGCATCCTGTCATACAGCATCCCAGTCTGGTTTGGAAGCATCACTGCTTCAGACAGGAAGGCGGTGCAGAGTGGTGAGGATGGCCGAAAAGATCATTGGCAGCTCCCTCCCTCCCATCCAGGACATAGCACAGAAGTGTTGCTTGAGCAGGATCCGTAAGATCATCTGGGACACTACACATCCTCTTCACAACCTGTTTTCCTTGTTACCTTCTGGGAGGAGGCTTCATGGTATCCGTAACAGAACATCCATATTCAGCCATAGTTAATTCCATACCGCATTAACCTTGTGAACTCTCAAGCTTCCTCCTTCCATTATATATTCAAGATGGACAGTATTTAATATTTATTTGTTATGTATATGTAGGGGTTTTATACATAGTATGTTTAGGTGTGTGTCATGTATGTGTTTCACTTTGAGAGCGGGCAACTAAATTTCATTTTTGATGTGTGCCATTGTGCCCACAGTAAAAAAAATGGCAATAAAGGTTATCTTATCTTATCTTAGTGGCAACCAAGGTTTCAGATGCAGTAGACTAGCAGGAATAGCCTCCAGCTCCCTGTAACAACCATTCAGAGTCCATCAGTTGTCAGAGTGAACTCATAGTATACAGATTACAGCTCTTCTGTAGTTAGTTGGCCACTTCTTTCTTGTGTCTTTAAGAAGATTCTTTTTTTTACCCCAATCTTTAAAAGCCAATCTTTATGTTTTAATAACTTAAACATTAAGAAAATTAGTGAACACTGAAAAGTGCTTTGAGTTCTCAATTTCAATAGCAAGGCAGCATATAAGTCAAGTCAAGACAATGATCTTAAAGCAGCAACTCATAGAAAGGTTATAGGGAATGTTAATTTTTACTTTTTGATGTGATTACTGAACTGTTAATCTTATATCACAATCTTGGGGTTCTAGTAAACTTGAGCTAGCTTTAATTTTGTTAAAATTAAGATATTATTTTAAAAGAATTAAACAAGTCAGCAATTAACAACATACCTGCGTTTGTTGCTGTGATGACAAAGGACTTTTGAATGCTTTGGCCATGATTCGTTTGATTTCCACTCCAGCGCTATTTTTAACACACATTGACTTATCCCACTGAATTGTATGATCTGGCTCTATTGGATTTAACCAAGCTAATTCATCTTCACAAATATGGAGTGGAGGTGGTGGGCGGATAAATTCTGGTCGAAAATGACCTGGAAAAATATATTACATTCTTTTTTAAAAAATATCTCTTTTAAAATATTTACCCAGCAATCAAAATGTTCCCAAGTGTATGATCTATGCTTCTGTATTTTATATATAATACATTATATTATTCTTTGTAGTTTACTTTGCAACATGTAGTATAGTGTATTATCTATTCCAGAAACTGACAATCTCAAGCATCTAAACCAGCATATTTCTATGCTGATCTTTCTTAGCACTTATTGACTCTAATTTTATATAAAGCAGCATATTTTTTTGCAGAGATATCCTTTATAAAACTCTCCAATGCCAACTGAGTTAGTAATAAAATAGTAATATGTCACCATGCCATTCTGCCCAACAAAACTATATTCTGGAAAATCAAAGCATAAGGAACAGAATTTAAGGCCCTACAAAAAACAATTGTGACTCTAAATAAAATATAACATAATACAATATAAAATATCAATATAAACAGTAGAATATAGTACAGGTTTATGCAAAGTCAATATAGTAGCTAAGGCACTGCTCCATGTTCAACCACAATGGAAAATATGCAACTATCTTCTCCTTATCCTCTGCTTTTCAAACTGAAGGACTACATTCATATGAACAACAGTAACTACAACCACTATTTTCAAATATAAACATGAACAGAAATAAGGAATGGAAAATAAATGATTAATTGTTATGTTGTAACTCTATAATAAATATTCCAAAATGATGCATACTTTCAATAGGTGGTTTTGGCCCACTCACTAAGGCTTCAGTAATCTGGGATGCAACAGAGCTGTCAAACCCAGAATTTGAAGAATCTGGATCAGGATCACTGAGAATACTAGGAAAGCTAGCTTTACTTTGTGTTGGCAGCTCAGACTGACGTTCTGAAAGAAAAATTAATTCAATTTCAATTTCCCAAATCTTGAATCACAAGAACAAGAATAAACTTGTGACAAATTCACACTATTTCTGTTAATGAGAAATTAGGATTAGCTGTAAAAATTAGGCACCAGGCTAGAAATCAGGAGACCCTGAATTCTAGTCCCACCTTAGTCATGAAAGCCAGCTGGGTGACCTTGGGCAGTCATTCTCTCTCAGCCCAAATCACTTCACAGGATTGTTTTGTGAGGAAAATAGGAGGAGGAAGGTCTGTTTGCTGCCTTGAGATACTTATAAAATAACTACAAATACAAATAAATAAATCATTTCTTCTTTAAAATCCAAAACTTTTAATCTCTAACAGCTCTTTGACCATGCTACTTTATTTTTAGAGATACAGCTGAGTTTCCAACAAGTGACTATTGGTGGACAAAATAGTTTACACAAATTATTCCATAAATAAATACTCAGTTATTTGAATTAACAAGATGATTATCACAACATCACTATTACCTTTTGAGCTCTATAACACTTCCTGCATGTTTGCAGAATTTTATTGTTCTCTTGTTTATGCCTCTTAAGAGATAAAAACCCTGTGGTTTCTATGAAGCAACAATGTTATTCTTAGCCTTTATACAGCATTCTTCATAGCTGAAAAGGAAACATTTTGTCTCCACATATTACATTTATAAAACATCAAATCATTCCACTACAGTTTTTAAACTCTAAACTTGGCACCTGTCCCAGAGCCAAAGTTTCTAAATATAGTGGCACCTTGGTACCCAACTGATTTGAAACTCATTGAATTTGGTACTCAAAGCATTTTGATGGAAAAATTTTGTCCCAGTACTCATCATTTGTTTGGTACTCAATGGACAAGCTAGAACTTGTCAATGTCAGTTGTCTTGTGATTCACTACATTATTCCTTATGGGAAATATTTGTCTGTTACTGATCATTTTTGGTACTCATTGCACCTTCAAGAACCAATTAATGAACAGTACTGAGGTACCACTGGCAGTTAAATGGTAACTAATTTGCTGACAGATATAGAAAAAAAAATCTAATATTTTTATTGTCTGGAGACAGACTTATATACCACTACTGTTTATAACAAAATTATCTTTACTTTAAAAAGGACAGACTTAGATATAAAACAAAATAAAATGCAAGCATGTGTAGTATCAATGTTCAGGGTTAATTTTTAAGAAAGATTTTGATCATGGCAATTTCATTCAATATATTATTTTGAAATGTGTTTCAATAATCCCATGGAATTAATTTCTACAGTGAGAGAAAAAAATATTTAATTCCCTGCTGATTTTGTATGTTTGCCCACTGAAAAAGAAATGACAGTCTATAGTAATGGTAGATTTATTTTAACAGTGAGAGACAGAATAACAACAACAAAAATCCACTGTAAATATTAAGATTAGATCACTCTTCCCAAGATACAGTGAGCAGTTACTTTTTTAAACCTCAAAAGAAAGAGAATGAATTTAGCCATCATTCTATAATGTATATCGCAAATAGCTGCTTATAGAAGGGTCCACCAAAATTAATTTACTACTGTAATGTGTGAGCTATGCTTACTGATATAAATGGCATGAAGCTACTATCCATGCCTTTCTCACACTTCTGATAAAGATTAGAAAAAATAAGCTCATGTGTTACTTACACTATATTTTCTTTAGGTGAAAAGCAAAGGTAGCCATGTTAGTCTTCAGAAAAAAAAACATCAGAGCAATTTCTTTATTAGGTAAAGGCCACAAAATAGCATGCAAATTTTCAAATTCTCTAGAGCTCTTTGAGAGCAAGAAGGTAAATAGAACAAATAAAGAGGAAAAAGTCTGACGTTCAAATGACCAGGTCCATTAAAATATCTAACTAATAATCTAAGAATCAGATTAAAAATTAAAGTTGTTCATAGTTTCATTCATCTTTATAAAAATATTATGAGAATAGATTCTAATCTCAATATGACCATAGTACTGATTGATATGAGTTTCAAGTCAGCTTGCTACAAGAAAGAGTTTGAAAACTTGAAAGTTTATAGCTAGGGTCAAAAGCTAAAAAAAAATTTAATCTGATAATACAACCTCAGCATCAACTCAATTATAACTCTTTCTTCTCTAAGCAGGGAAAATAGTAAATCTCCTTTACCTTGTACTAATGAAGTATTCTATAGTCAACAATATTAGCATAAAATTTCATAAATAAGTGAGTTCTTGGGGGGGGGACAAGCTTGTAAGGAATATGAATTTGTGGGACTATGAACCACACAAAAGGCAATTTTAGAAGTTCTATCACAGCTCTTATACAAGCACATTGCATTTCAGAGTATTTGTCATTTCAATGATATTAACATAGCAAAGGCTTAGAACTTGAAACCGGATTTGCTATTCTCACGGTGCACAAATGACCCATCACATATAGAATCAATATTTCTATAAACGAAAGTTTCTAAAAAGGAAATTTTTGTTTTAAGTATAGGGTATTTGTTTTCAAATAATGACAAAACAATATATTACTTGTGTGCTTTGTTGATTTATGAACAAAAACAGACAGCGACTCCATACCAAATTGGAAATCATTTACCTTCTAATATATCAAAAATTATTTCTCCAAAACTATACATAATTAATATTGCAGAAACCCATATGATTAACTTCAGGTAAAACTAAAAATGTGCTATGAGTTATGAGGAAAAAGAAAAATACAGGGAGTCCTTGACTTATGACCATAATTGAGCCCAAAATTTCTGTTGCTCAATGAGACATTAGTTAAGTGAGTTTTGCCTCATTTTACGACTTTTCTTGTCACAGTTGTTAAGTGAATCACTGCAACTGTTAAGTTAGCAACATGGACACTAAGTGAATCTGGCTTCCCCATTGACTTTCTCAGAAGGTGGCAAAAGGGGGTCATATGACCCTGGGATACTGCAACCATCATAAATGAGTCAGTTGCCAAGCATCCGAAATTTGAACACGTGACCATGGGAATGCTGCAATGGTCTTAAGTGTGAAAAATGTCATAAGTTACATTTTTCAGTGCCGTGTAACTTCAAACAGTCACCAAATGAACTGTTGTAAGTTGAGGACTCCCTATATTCACATGCAAGTTTAATCACATTTCATATTTTCATTAAAAAAGATGTCTGTAGAAATGATTTGTTACCTGCTAATGCTAACTGAAGACCGCTTATATCTACAGATTGGCCCATATTTCCTACATCCATTGACACAATCTGTCTTGGAGTCTTTTTGAAGAGTTCTCTAGGAGGGGCCAACATCAGCTGAGAAAGGAAGAACCTTTCTGGTGGAGTAATAGGGGGCAAAAAGCCTAAAAACAAAAGAAGTTATTTTATAGTAGTAGCGTTTTTCAAAGAAGTTATAGCATTTTTATTGTTGTGAGCTCAATCCACAATAGTATGAATTCAGTGAAATTCTTGGGATAAAAGCAGGGAAAGGGGATTCTCATCATCCAACCATCCATCTAGAGCCATGATGGCAAACCTATGACACGCGTGGCACAGGGGGCACACAGAGCCCTCTCTGTGGGCACACACGCCCTTGCCCCAGTCCTAGGCCTTCAGCTGGGTTTTATAAAACCTTTTCGCTTTAGGCCTCCGCCGCTGGTTCAATCAATCAATTTAAACTTCTCGCGGGAAAAAAAAGATCTCGCAAAGTTGGGATTGATTGAACTTTTTAGTCCCACCCAGTCTGCTGTTACCACCGCAGCCACGCCCAGCCAATGGGCCACACCCACCCAGCACCCGACGATGCATAAGTGGATTTTGGGTTGCACTTTGGGCACTCAGTTTCTAAAAGGTTCGCCATCACTAATCTAGAGCCATGATGGCAGTCTGCTGACTGCCGACTGCCATCAGTTCGGTAATTCAAATCCCAAAGGCTCAAGATTGACTCAGCCTTCCATCCTTCCGAGATCGGTAAAATGAGGATCCAGATTGTTGGGGACAATATGCTGACTCTGTAAACTGCTTAGAGAGGGCTCTAAAGCACTGTCAAGTGATATATAAGTCTTATTGCTATCTGGTAATCCAGGTTCCCTAGGTCAGGGATCCCCAAGCCCCAGTCCGTGGACCGATATCGGGCGGCAGTATGCCAACAACCGGTCTGCACAAACAAGCAAAGCCCCATCCATGGGATGCAGGCAGCACACAAACCCACACTCTCTGGTCTGCAGAAAAAATTTTCGCCATTAAATCCATTCAGAAAAATGTGGAAAGAGAGACAAAGGCAGTGCTAAAAGTAAGGTTCTGGATTGAGGGAATTGTGAAAATACATTTTTCCTTCTGTCTTCAAGACCATCAAGTAAGCAGAGTAGAAGTGTCCATTAAGAAAATACTGAGTTAGGTTTTCACAAGCAATATCTCATTTTTTGTATAGTAAATTATACAATAACATGAAATACGAAGCTTCCGTTCAGCTGTAAATTAAGCTAAGAGAACTTGAACCATAGAGAAGAGGTAGAAATAATGGAAGGTAAAATGTAAATAAGGCAGGAAAAAGTCCACCATCATCTTTCCCAACCTGAAGAGAATGTTGCTCACATGACCATAATAATGCATATATCATTGGCTCCACAAATAAGTGTTCCTTGATATCAACAAATATAAAACATTACCTATAGCTTCATTTATTGCCACAATTCACTGATCTTACCCATAGATAAAATCATACTGGCAATTTGTCATTTATCTAAACCAGGGGTGTCAAACTGCCAGCCCGTGGGCCGGTTTCATCATACCGAAGCTGCGCCCACCCCATTGCCGGCAGTGCAAAAAGAGTCGCAATACATCGCGACACGTCATCTGACTTGGCGAATTTGACAATCGTGATCTAAACAAATCATTAGCTGTTATTAATCACTTTCTAGTCAACAATTATATACAGAGGACAGCAGAAATATTACTTCCAGTATGGGACCTAATTTCCAAATGTAGTTCAAAGTCATGCTTGATATTTATGTGTATTTATGATGTTACTGTACAAATACTGCTATTAACAAAAAGCATGCTGATTACCACAGGATACATACTACCTATTCATCAATTGTCTACTTTCATATTGTGCATTTTTATACCAAAACCTGTAGGTTATATAACACAGAGATGATTAAATTAGAACAGAATAGGGATGTTTTCCAATTTTTCATCAGGTCATATTTAGCATTAAACTGGGGATCTCAGTCTCAGCAACAATCGAAGTTGAAAACTGAGATATTCGAAAATAATTAATGAAGAGTTACAGGAGAAGCAGTTATTGCAATTACAATTATGTCGAAATTATTCCTCTCAGTCTGGTTGAGTCTACTGAACTAGGGTTGACCACTCAGTTTAAAAGAGGGAGAAGTTGCAAAATGCTCAGATATTACAACCCAGCCTCCAAAGAATTCATGTTGCTTCGTCCCCCATTTCAAAACAAGTTTCATCTTTTTAAATACCATAGGAGGTCTAGGCTTTTACCGAAATGGCAAAAGGGGCCGACCCCATGGTTATTCGCCCTGGCCCAAGCGGAGGCCAGGTGAGAGAGCTACCTGACAGCGGCGGCCTTTCGTTTTCGTCCCCGCCGCCGCTCCCTGCAGTTCCGGGCCCCGAGCCGGCGGGGACGCGCTCTGGGGGCGCCGGATTCAAGAGGTGGGCGAAGATGGCGGCGAAGGGGTTTGCAGCGAGCGGCTCGGTGCGGTACATCTCCCAGAGTAGGTAGAGGGCGGTCAGGCGCTGCGGTGGCGTGGGCAGCAGATCCGGCTGCTGCAACAGCAGCACCAGGACTGAGCCTACGCGGAAATGCTCGGCCTTTCCAAAGTAGTGGTGGAAGGCGGTAGAGAGGCCCTCAAAAGTGCTGCCTCCGGCCTCCTCAGACACGATGCTCAGCAGGCTCGTCAGTTCCTTCGGAGAAAGGCTCATCTTTCCTGGCAGCGACGCGACGGTTTCACTGCTGCTGCCGCTGCTGTTGCTACTATAACCGGCGACGGAAGCAGCGCCGGCCCCACCACCGGGAACTGAACCTGCCGCCGCTTCCACAACACGGCCAGGCTCGGGACTGAGACGGACCCCACTCGCTAGCATCCAGCTCCACCCTTCCCGCTCTCGGCGGCCCTCGGTGCGCGTCCGTGCACTCGACCTATCTAGCTACTCTCCCCTCATTATTTTGTTTTCCCTTCCCTGTGCGCGTGCCTCAACGAGCCGCCACTCCGCCCCCCATTCTTTCCCCCTCCCGCGTCCCCCGTCCCCCCCCCCGTCGCTGCTACCCTAAAACGATTTGTAGCATTTGAAATGGTTACTCTTTTTCAGTACTGCCGTAAAGCCAGGAAAATAGTAGGAAGAGCATATCGATAGAACAGTGTTTCTCAACCTTGCCAAATATAAGATGTATGGACTTCAACTCCCAGAAATCCCTACCCAGCTATGCTAACGGGATATCCGGGATTTGAAGTCCACACATCTTAAAGTTGTCGAAGTTAAGAAACATTGCTATATAAGAAAGAATGGAAAATAGGAGCTACTTTATTAGCTGTTTAAAGACGCCATCTCAGGAAAACAAAAGGAAGAAATTATTTTCGTTGCATGTTGATTTTAGAAATCTGGAACGAATATGTTGCTATGTTAATAGATTGGTAGTTTAATTTCCAAATGGAATTTTAAATAAAAACTCAATCAATTTCATCTTAATATTTAGAGGTAAGACTGAAGAATATTTTTACACCTAGGCTTAGAATGTAAAATCTGTGGGTTTAGGTACCTCCCTATTTCGCATCTTGCTTGATCTTGAAAAGCTAAGCTAGGTCAGACCTGGTTAGTACTTCTTGAGGTGGCTATCAAGAAATAGACTGTAGCCTATATCTGAATATTGGAGCGGGGGAGCCCTAAGAAGACAACGGCAACACCTCTTCAGTACTATTATCAGGAAATCAACATAGATGTATCTATAAAGTCACTACGGTAGAAGTCAAACGCAGTTCAAGGAGACTTTTCCCTTTATGTTATCAGGTACATTCTGTGAGGTTTAACGGAGTTTATTTCTCTGATTTCATCCTGAGTTTTTATCTTATTTTATCCATTTAATTTTAAACAAACCTGATGTTTGTTAAGCTGAGACAATTATTTTCATGACTATCAGATCTGAATAGGTTATCTTGTGGAAGATTTAAACTAGTTCTGTGCTCCAGTGCAAAAGTAGTTCAAATCCCATAAGCATGAAATCTGAAATTAAACAAAATTAATACTTTGGATACCTTAAAATATACCATCTTCCTACTTTTGGGGTCTGGATGAAATATGTATCCCTTCATATCCTCAGGATTTTTTTTCATAATATTTAAATGAAATTATTAAAATACAAATCACATTTGTCTGCTTAGAATGAGATAATTACAATCTTACCTAATAATCATTGTCACTATTATGATACAGAAGTCTGGATCTGATGGTTTTATATTGGATCAACCTGAAAATAATCAAAATACAAATCACATCCATCTGCTAAGTTTAACTTGGGTTACACTGCTAGAAAGAAATGAAGCAGACAAAATCAAATTAGAAAATTTGCTAATATGTGAAAGTGAACATGAAAATAAATGGACAATCAAAGTAGGAAATTTTTTAAAGACATTGTGAAACTAAATATAAAAATAAAGAGGGAAAATCAAAGTAGGGAAATTTTAAAAGACCTTATGAAATGGAGTATAAATTCACTGGAATGAATTATCTGGTAAATTTAGTAGTCATGGGCTTTTGATAGGGAAATTAACAAGAGTGTGCAGCCCAGTTGATTTAACTGCAATACCTAGTGTAGTAATTCTGTAAATTGGGTAGATTAAATAATCTATGTCTTTTTTATTCTCTTTTATTTACTATTACTTACTATTTGCACTATACTGTTTAATCCCAAAGGGCATAGTGTGATATAGATTCCTAAATTCTGGGTGATATAAAAGTTATAATAAATAATTATTAAGTACTATATCCCTTTTAAAATATTTTTTCAATATTTGTACTAGGATCTGGGATTGTGTAGCTGAAGAAATTAAAATTGTCTCACATGAATTTGATCATTTTGGAGGACTATAATCTCATCCAGTATCATGTTATTGATTACCAGGACCCTGAACTATAAGTATCCTTCTTACCTACATAAGGTTTCAGTTTATTTCTTATCCTCTCTAGAGTTGTCACCAAAAAATCTCCAGGATATTTCCTGATATTTCATTTTGTGACTGAAGCATGGCAGTGACAAAATTGATTTCAAACAGAATGGCTGTCCAAAAGATATCTACACTGTTTAAAAGGTGAATAAAGAACACATACCAATTTATAGTGTAATAAAGAAGAAGTAGACGGATATAAACCTTAATTTTGTATCTAAAATAACTGATAATATCACAAGAGAGGACTCACTTTTCAAGTCCCTTAATTTTATGCAATTATACAAATGTACACAAGTAACATTTAAAAATTAACCATAGTTTATAGGTATTTCTGTGTCCTAATCTCATGGAGACTCTGCCTTCTTCTTTTGTCAGCACCTAGATGTAAATAGTTGTATAAATACTATAAATTGCCATTTGCTAACTGATCTCAGGTTTAGATCTTACTAACCAGCTAGAGCATCATCATTTTAAATCAATTTTACAAACAGAATAAAAAAGTTCTTTTATTTTTCTTTATATGTTCTACATATATGCCACCCACCTTGCCAAGAGGCGACTCTAGGTTGCTTATAATCAGCTTTTAAATACATATAGTATAGTGTGTTCCTTGCTTTAGCAGCATCCCACAATTTAAACCCATAATACTACCGTTTTGCAAGAGACCAAACTCAGCAACATACAGAAATTCTAATTGGATGCGATATGTTTCATAAAAGGAGTCATATGAAAACAGTTTTACAGAGAAAGAATGGTATCAAAACAATGGATAAGAGGATTATATTTCATGCATTTGACCATAACATGACAGGACTAATCCCTATGTTATCAGTTCTTGGGGGGTATTAGACCTATATAGACAGAGGAATAGCTGTGTGTCTTCTATAAAACATACTTAAAATGCATTTGTTGTTGCCAGGGAAAAAGAACACGAAAAACCCAAAGATCAGTATTAGTGTTGGGGGAGAGGCAGTGAGGAAAAGTGAGAGAAGAAGAGAAAGGAACACACTGGGAAGATTGGGAAATAGGTAAGATATACAGCTGAGGCCACTGGTGTAAGGAACAAGTACATATGTCAACAGATGCACCCCTCAAAATCATTCATATTTTATTTCATCTGAATCCCAGAACAACCAAGCTCTTCTAGGTTTTGTTTTTTGTCAATTTGAAACACTTCAGAAGAATTTTCCAGGATGCAATACTTTGTTCCTGATTCAAAAAGTCTTTGCGCTCAGACATCCCAAAGATATAGTTTGATTCAGGCATAAGCTATCTGATAATAGCTGTTCAGTGCACAAAACAAGTTCACACAGAGAAATCCTTTTGTATATTCCTAAAATTGTACATGAATTGGTAATTCATTTTACATACCTTGAATTTGCTCTGCAGAGTCTCTCTCTCTCTTTCTCTCCCTCCCTCCCTCTCTCCCCCTCCCTCTCTCTCCATTTTTTTAATAAATCTCTCTTCCTTCTTCCCTCCCTCTCTCTTTCTCCAAAATAGAATCTTGCGGTAACAATACATAACATAATGGTTCAGAGGACTGAAAACGCATCATTCATTATCAGTACGTATTTCAGATTCCATTGTCCAAGTTAACACTGTGTCCTATGTTCCAAGATACAGAAATGCTGTTGAAGAATATGATACTTGAAGATGCAGCAGATCACATTCTTCTCCAGCATGTAGAGGAATGTAGACTCCACGCATGGGTTGATTTAGTTTTCTAGCCCAATCAGACCAAACAATCAAAGTTGCCACGCCTCTGCAGGGTCTGACCATGCCCCAGTTTTCGTTTGGTCTCAGCCCTGAAGACACATGAGAATTTGGCTCCTAATTTAGATTCAGAAAGGTAGTTATTGCCATTCGTGGTTTCTCTATCCTTTTTTTTTCCTTCTTGGGGGGGGGGGGATTGGTTCAGCTCTGAGCTCAGTGCTGCACCAGTTCTTCTCTCTTAATCAATTCCCTTCTCCGTGAGTTTTCAGAGGCAGACAGCTGATCGTAGATTGCTGCCTCCTCATTACAATCCACCTCCCCCACCCCCTCCCAAGATCTTCGCTGTGAATGCGAAGCTAAACTACTAATTTTCAGCTGAAAACTGAAATCACCTTCTTAGGTTAGTTACCAATTCAAACAACCTGCGGGCGCCATTTTGAGCCTCTAGAAGGCTCGATCCTCACACTACTCAAGTACTTCCTTGTTACTGTTGATTGTCAGCTGTAAATTACCCCCCCCCCAAAAAAAAAACAGCAGGTGAACTGTTTGACTAAAAGAGCTGATTACCAGATTACTTGCAGGAGAGGATTTTTTCTCTCAGCTTGTTTCATCTCTCATCAGATTGTCCCGGCCGCCATTTTGGGCTCCGCCCGATCACACACATTAAATTGACTGCTTTGTCCTAATTACAGCCTTTTCAGTCACAAAGTAACTTACTTATTTGGTGATTCTCCCTAAGTGGGGGGGGGAATAGGAGTTCTAATTACATTCCTTTAGATCTTCATTCAGCTGCTTAATAGGCACCATCTCAGGTTGCCTAGTGGACATAGGGAAAATACCTTGAGTCTCTCACTCCATTTTATCTGGTAATATTCCAGACTGTGACTTACCAGTACCTTTTAAATATCCAGTGCCAACAGATTGGATGGCTGCTTGCCTTGCCTGTTTTCCGCTGTCTGCATAGTGGTCGGCACTTACTGTCCTAGCCGTCACTAAGTGAGACACGAGGGTCAAAAAAAATCAATTAAAATAAAACAGAATTAAATTAAACAAGATATATACCTATATTCATATATAGACTTATCTTTAATTTGATACCTTTTCGGCCAAATTGTCTCTATTACAGTGGGCCTGAAAAATTGAATGGGGAGGACAGCCCCTGAGCGTAGCGCGGCTTATATCGCGTAGTGACTCCGTGCTTAACGGTGGGCCGGACCGCACAGACCCTCGTGCAGGCCTGTACCATCCAGGTGGGCCATGGCCTTCCTTTCTCCTGCAGACCAAGGGCCGATCCAGGGATCTCCTGGTGAAAACCTGCCCTTTCTTCTCCTGCAGAACAGGACTGATCCAGGGATCTCC